TTGTTCTAAGTCACTTCACATACGAGGCAGCAATGCACAACTGGTCAAGAGCAGAGTCCGAGACACTGAATGTGCTCCTCAGGAAAGTTATCAAGAAGGTCCTGGGCCTACCCATACATACCAACACCGAGCGTCTGCTTGAGCTTGGCATACACAACACGCTCGAAGAAATAGCAGAAGCCCAAGAGAGAGCACATTTTGCAAGGTTATCTACAATAAGGTCGGGGAGAATGATCCTGCAGGAGCTGGGTCAACACCCAATGGCAATCAGACGCAATTACAATGATATCCTCGACAACATCAGGGAGAATATCACGGTGTCTCCTATACCGAGAAACATGCATCCAGAACACAACGTCGGAAGAAGAGTAGCGAGGGCCAGGACTATACTTCGTCAAGTCTCAAACGAGGAACGAGGGGTCGTATTTGTTGACGCGGCTTCCTACGCCAATGGGAAAGCGTTTGTGGCAGTGGTAGTCGATGGGGCTGGCCATGTCGTCAACTCAGCGACGGTCAGGACGAAAGACCCAATCATTGCGGAACAAGTGGCCATCGCCTTAGCACTCAAGATGGATAACATTGAAGTCGTCTACAGTGATTCCATGGCAGCACTACGGGCGTTCGCCAAGGGGACGGTCTGTGAACAAACGCTGAAAATACTGCAAGGCAAGAACATAACACATCATCTTCTGAGTTGGTTCCCAGCTCACCTTGGACAAATCAACGATTCCCCTCCCAATCTCAACGAAGCAGCACACGAGGCGGCGCGAGAACTCTCCAACCGCGCCTCCCCGGGGATGCGTTCTACCGGTGAAGGGGATAACTGGGAAATTCTTACAACATATAACGAGCTCACTAAACATTTCTACCTGTCTAGAAGGATTTTCCCTCCACCTCACAAAAATCTAACCCGGCCCCAAGCACTTACATTAAGGCTTTTGCAAACGCGGATGTACCCTACTTTGAAAATGTTAAACATCATGTACCCTGACCTATACCCAAGTAATCTTTGTCCACATTGTGGGGAAATAGCTTCATTAGAACACATGCTCTGGCAGTGCACCAAATTCGCTCATTTATCGCACATCACCTCTGCCAGATGGGAGGCGGCAATCCGCAGCTCGTCCTTGGCAGATCAGCTCTGGGCTGTCCACCAAGCCCGCGAGGCGGCTGAGGAGCTTGGCATCTCAGTCCCCACGTGGGAGCTGCCCGCAACACAGTGATCTGTGTTTTGGAGGACCAAATAAAAGTTTATCCAATCCAATCCACATTACATGAAGGGTGGGCGAACAGAAAAACTGGCGGGTCAGGTTATATTTATTTCATGACTTGAAATATGGTCTTCGATGGCAGCCTTGAATTGAGAAATGTCAGTGACGAGGGCGATATGTGAAGGGAGGGCATTCCATTCTCCAGCAGTATGCAGAAAAAATGAATGTTGATAGGTGGTCGTGTGTGCACGTGGCTGATACACAAAATTTTAGTGAGAATGACGAGAGGAACGATGTGCAGGAACGATGATTTGGTTTCCTGGAGGCAGTGAATTTAAAAACCTAAAAAATAAGATTAGACAGGCAGCCTTGCGGCGAGAAGAAAGTGAGGGGATGCATAGCTGGGATTTTAGGGCGGATACACTTGTCTTGTAGGAGTAATCAGAGAGAATAAAACTCGCAGCACGGCTTCGGACCGATTCAAGAGAATTAGATATGTTAACTTGATGGTTGTCATAGATAGTAATATTCTAGTTTTGATCGTATCAACATTTTATATGCAAGTAATTTGACTGTAGTGGATGCTGATGATGTTACGGCGTAGATAACCTAATAAGCGATTACAGGAATTGGTTGGTGTATATGATGGGCCCAGGACAAGTCGCTAGATATATGTACTGCTAAGTATTTAAATGTCTGGCATTGACTCAAGGTGGTGTTGTTGAGGGAGTACGAAAATGCTACATAGTTACGGCAACGATGAAAAGATACGTGAGAGCACTTACGTTGAGAGACATGCACCACCGGCTGCACCATGTTTGGATTTTGAAGAGATCATACTGGAGAAAGGAGGAGTCTATGGAGTTTGTTATTGACGATACAGAACACAGTCATCCACAAAGAGGCACATATTTGATGATACGTTATCTGGAAGGTCATTAATATATATGAGAAAGAGTAGCGGTCCAAGTACCGAGCCTTGCGGCACACCAGATAAAACAGGGGATAAAAAGGAGGAAGATGAGCTGGTGGAAACAAAGTGAAGGCGATCGGTCAAGAATTCACCTATCCAGTTAACTGTGTTGGGGTGTAGATTTAGGTTCGAAACTTTATGTATGGGAAAAATGTGCGATACTTTATCGAATGCTTTCTCGAAGTGTAAGTAGAGAGCGTCGGTGACAATGTTGTGAACCAGGTTGGAATGTAAATCATACATGAATAGAGCAAGCCGAGTGTTGCAAGAATGAGCTTTGCGAAATACGTGCCGGCTAGGACGAAAAAAGCTAACAGATGACAGAAAATTGGCAATGTGTGAGTGTAAAATATGCTCCATTAGTTTCAAACAGATGCTGCTGAGGGAAATGGGACGGTAGTTACTAGGATTTTTACGATCGCCTCTTTTAAAAATGGGAATTATCAACTTTCCAATCAGAGGGTATTGATCCGGAGGAGAGAGATTGCTGAAATATTAGCGTCAGAAAAAGACTGGTGATGTGCTTGGTATTTTTTAATACTTTAGCGTTTATGCCATCCACGCCACACGAAGATGAATTTTTTAATGACTCAATGAATATAACAATGCCATTTGCATTGATAGTTATGTTTTCCATTGAGGGGTAATTACATTGGCTGATTTGAGCATGGCGCGCTCATCGTTACCGGGGCCGCCGCTTGTCCACGAGTATGTGCACGATCACGCTGAAAAGCCACGTATTCCAAGAAAAAACAAAAAGGTAGTGCTAAAGGTCACGAGGTGTGTGTGTGACGTATTTTCTTTCGCCGTGACATTCCTCCCTGCTTAACTTCCAGCTATTTCGTCGGGATGAAAAGAGAATGCAATTGCAGCGTGCGACAAATTTTTGGAACTCCGCTCGTACTGGAATAATTCTAGAAACTTTGCGTCGGTAAATTTGTGAGGCAGCAAGCATGTTTACTGGCTCCATGGCTACTTGAAAAAGTGTTGCAGGGCCCCTTTAAAGGAACATGTTATCCTCAAATCAATTCTTCATTTAATTAAGCTTGTTATGATGTGTTATATGCACCAAGTATAATAAATATTAAAATGTTAAGTATCACTCGCATCCTACTGAAACTACTACTTAAGGTTGTTCCAACTTCTTGCGAACAAAAAAAATGCATTTGCATAGAGTCCCTATTTCAATTCAAAACAAATATTGTGCAGGTTAGTTAGGTCATGATAAATATTTTTTTTTTTATATGTCATGCATTCCATTCGAATTTAATTCGAAATTATTCGATCAGAATCGCTATTTGCTTCTAATTTGCTTCGAACCTAAAATTCACTAGTCGCACAAGCCTAATGGCCTGGCATTCCTAGGATGCCCAATAGCAAGCAGAGTTTCGGTGAGTCAAATTCTCTCTGATGTGCTCATTCATAGAAGTAAAATGCTAAGCGCAATGTCAGCTGGCGCACTTGAAAGAACCACAGCTTGAAATTACATTAAGCCCTCCCCATGAGTGTCGCTCAACACCAGTAGCTTTGCTATATTAAATTATACAAACCAATCGTCCTTCCACTTTCATCCAGCGGCTGTGCTTCTACTCTATAGAGCATATCCTGGCAAGCTAGTTCGTAAAATATTATTGTGACAACTAAAAGATCTTGGGAAGATATACTGCAGTAAAAGTAAACAAGACAAATGCAGACACATTCATAAGGTCAGCAGCATTCACCTTCTACTTTTTCCAAGCTCAGTAAATGTAACTTCTACTCTACACCTGCAACTACTATGCTTTTATAAATCTCTTCTGTTTTTTTTTCCTCAAGGGTGGTATCCAGAGTTGAGACATATCAATGTAATATGTCATTATAGTGCACAGTGATTGATAAAATATGAGCAAGAACTCATTGGACATTTGAAGTACATTATAGTGATACTGTCACCAAGAGCGTCTCAGAATGTGGCACCTCTCCTCCTCTTAAAGCCTTCTCCCCCATTTTTTAAATGCGATTTGCACTTATGACATGATGACATGCAACGTGTGTGCTAGGCCTGTTCTGTGCATGAATTGACAAATCGAAATGCTTTAATCCTACTGCAAGCTGGACTGCCACAAGGCTACAACCAACAATAATCGTTGGCAATACACAGCGGACACAACACTGCTCTTTGCTTTGTTTTCTGACCACTAATGCTTTCATCCACTTTGAATTACAGCACCCCCAAAAAAGGATGCATGGTCCAAATTCTGTTGGACGAGAAAACGGAGCAGTGACTAAACTTATAGCAGACAATTACGTAGCCAATCCCCCAAATTTGTCAGTTTTGCATGTGTATATTACATGCACACATTCATATGCACCAATAGAAGCTATGCCCGACATCCTCCTCCTCAAAAAAAAAAAAAAAAAAAAAAAAATCTGGCTGCGCGACTCATTTTTTCGTGAATATTAGTCCTGTTATGTCTTTCAGAAAGATGGCTTAGGGTCCCCAAATAGCGACACACTACACCCTTGTGCGAAAATTTTCCTCGCACTTTTTTCTTGTCACATTACAATTCTAAGTACCTGCAATCTATTAATCCGTTGCATTCAGAAATTAACATTCAATCAGACCTGTTTTTCATTTTCACAATTTGTCTCATCTCCCATGAAGCAGAACACCCCATGAACTTATGGAATGAATATACGCGTGCTCCTTTTCGGATGTGCTTATTCATGTTCAAAACAAGGGATTAACAAACCAATAATGTGTAGACTCCAAAAGCACTTGTACAGGTGGTGTAAAGAAGCATCATATTTCTACCAAATGACTCGTGCAGCACGAATTGTGAAGTATATGTTTATTTATGTACATCACCGAGACCAGCCAGAACTCCAGTACGACCAGAAACCAGACGCAGTACATCTGCCACTGCCGTTTTTTCGGGGAAATTTCCGGCAGCAGCTTCATTTAGGCGACCCAATTAATGGTCACAAAGAAGTCTTTTGCTGGGTGGTGAAAGTAACAAAAAATAATGCACATGTGATGGTCAGCAGAACAAAACAAATCTCAACAGCAGGAATGAGAAAATTGTGCTTGCAATACAACTTTTTAATGACTCAATGATTTTACCAATGCTGTTTACGATGATAGTCATTTTGGTTCCCTCATTTTAAAAGAGGCCCAGACTTAATCTTTTCTTCAACACGTGTTACAGTAATGATAACCACAAGTGATTATCATTGCTGTAACACAAGCCAATTATTACTTTTAGGACACTTCGTGTCAATTAGTCCTGAAGTACAACGAGCAAAGTGCAGACTGCTAAAGCAGTGTGTTGGCTGTAGCCAACAACCAACAAACAAATGTATAGCATGAAATTGAATCCTGCCATTGTATATACTTAAGTACACCCATGGCAAGCATGGTAACAACCTTTGCCTTAAGGAGACTTTCAGTTTAACTGTATTTTCTATTCAATACATTTCGAACTCCCAATGCTTTGAGAATGTGAGGAAAATGAGCGTCATACTGAGTGGCTGTATAGTAGGCACAATCTGAATGGATGGTCAATGGTGCATGTTGAGTTGTGCGTTCTGTGGTCACATCTAGAGCTCGCCCTTGATTCCGAGGTCTTCTTCCTCCTCCTCCTCTGGCTCCTTCACCTTCCTGACAAAACCACGATCTGTGAGCAGCTGATTGCACTCATCGCGGCTCCGCTGCTCCAGGCTCAGACGCTGAAAACGAGCGAAAATTTTCTAGCAAGATCCGACTGCACGCCGCGAACTTGACATAATTTAACAGTTCCCTCTAACTGAAGTTTAGCCAAACTGCTACATTACATGCATCACAGAATGATGCCACAAACTATGAGAGTACACCAGAACAATATGAATGTCGAGGCATGCCATACGCTCTAAGAAAAAAAAGTAAAAAGGATGTATTGTGGCCTCACAGAAATCATAAGCTATCTCGAGCAAATTTATTTGCATTATTGCCATGTGCTTGGCACTTCCATATCATGAACAGCATTCATGTGATCCGCAAGACAATCTTGAAAGCAAAGTGGCGAGCATCGTGTTTTCAAGAAAGAAAAGGCAAGCAGGTCAGGTGATTACTGTTGCGGGACAAAAATGTGTCCTTTGTACTTTAACCTTAAAGAGGAATATGGGAATGAAAATTAATTTGTACCTTTTAAGACAAAACTTCAGTGCAACCCAATACGGATCAAGGAAAATAGATGAAACAACCACATGTGCTGAGCATCTACAACCATTCTTTATGGTCTGTCCTGGTTTGCATGGAATCCTTGCTTTAAAAGCTATGTACCAATGTACCAACTGTAGTCTGTTCCAGAAGTATCCTTCAGCACTGTAGAGGCTACAAGGCCTTTTTGCCAATAGGAAGCGCGATTAGCCCTACCACATGTATTCATTCGCGCCATGTTCTTTACTCACAGTCTTCACGGCGTCTGCCCGCCGAATTCTACACGCTCATTGCAGATAATATGGCTACTTTATTAACTTAAGAATGCAGTAAAACTGTGAAACAAGCAGCCACATAAGGAACTTGAAGCGCGGATTCGTTGTTCTGCTGATCGGTAGACGCTCATGTCGGCGGATCACTTTGTGGCTGTTTCTCTCCGATGCTGTTCGTGGCTCTCTTATGACTGCTTCTCCATTGACACGTTCCTTCGCATATGCCACTTCAACGCTCCTTTTCTCTCATTTGTGTTTCCATCGAAGGAGGATCCGACGTGCGCGAAACGCTGTACCAGTTTGAATGTCCGTTGGAGATGCAGCATTCTTGGCCTGGCAACGCAGTCCAAGCACCCCCTCAGCGCATTAGGCTTAGCAGGTGCAGCTACACAAGCAGGATATCTCGCTAATAACGACAAAGGTACGTAAGATGAAACAAACCGATGGCCGATTTCACCACTTATTTCTTTTTGTCAGCGCAGTGGGCATGTACAAGAGCAAGTTCGAACCGAAGCGGGAGGTCGCTTCTGAATGTGTGCTGCCATGTTGATTTGTAAACACGGTTACCTCTGGTAAGCCGACACAAATAATTTAGTGTGTATGAAATAAATGTGAGAAATGCAAATAATAAGGATATCATGTATCAATGTTGCATAGCACAGACCAAACAAATGCCAATTTTAATCAACCCTGTCAATTTGAGGGCACTTAGTATAATGTGGGGCTATGTTTTGCTGCGTAAGCGTGTGGGGTTTCTTGAACCCCGTAGCTTTTGTAGTGCTGAACCACAGTAGTGAAACAGAATATAGGGATAACATGTTTTATTAATTTTGACCATCTGGGTTTGTTTAACACGCATCTAAATCAAAGCACACTGGTTCAGCCAGTAGGACCTGGAATCGAAGCTGCATTTTGAACATTCAGCTACTAAGCTACCCCAACGAGCTATTACCCCTAGCTAGTGAAATTTCATTCATGCATAGAAAACAATTTCACAATGTGAAAATTGCAGCATTTTACACCAGATATTGTGACGACCTTTTTCTTAGTAGCAGAAGCCTCTACCCTTACGTGCAAGGGTTATTAGACTCCTAATGAATGCAGCTTTCTGCAAAATCTCAGAACGAATTCAGGGCAATAACTTGACCTTCAGCACAGACTACTGGAACAAGTCGATAACAAAAGCAAGATACGAAAAAAAATCAAAACTGTTTTCTTACATGCCTTAGAGGTTTGCCTCTAAGGCATGTTTGCCTTAGGCTTACCCTACGAGATTTCGATTCCCACAACGCAAAATGTTTCACAGTCTTGGTGCCGTAACAAACGAATGCAGACAATAACTGCAGATTGTGCGAGTTTGTGCAAAATAAAATCGTATTGCTATAGCGCAGCTCAGTTTGAGCATGAAGAAAAAATTCAACAGTTAAAAAGGAAAATACAGACAATAAGATAAGCACTTTTAAAGCTCATCCTGTTGTCTGTATTTCCCTTCTTACTCAAACTGAGCTGCGCTATAGCAGTATGATTCTATAAATACAGAGTTTGTGCACAGGAAAATCTGTTGCACATATAACTACGCCTGGGCTTCGGCATTTGTATCGAATTCACCTCACACATACCACTTCAACTGGTGTTAATATCAGGAGGTGATGCACTGATACCTTCAACTACCATGACCGAAGTTATCTAAAATCAAGCACGATTTTTTCAAAGAAGAGTCAAGTACTATTGTAGGCTGCATTTAATAGCAAAATAGTCTTCACCTTTTGGCTGGCCTTTGTCTCGCGTGCGTCATCAAACTCGACTTAAATTTTTTCCACTCTGCTTGACCTTAAGATGACTCATGTTATTGCCACGCCACCACTATTGCTGCAATTAATCACCTGGCAAGACTCGTGTACATACTATATTGAATACAAAGAAAGGGTAGCTGGGAAAATGAGGTGTTTATATTTCCATGCACCCTGCTATAAAATGTGTCCTGACATCCTGAATCTACCGAAATGAACAAATGCAGGCAACAGCTGAAAAGCCTCGATATTATGGCTTTCTGGACCATTACTTGATTGTGTTCTACCTACCTACGGGACTCCATATTTAACAGCAAATGCAAAACCACATATTTCAGCCTCCCCCCCCCCCCCTCCTTTTTTTAAACATTATTTAGGGAAGTGTTAGTCAATATTACAAAATTTCGAATAGTGAATCAAATAACATTCTATTTGATTCGGCACTCATATCAAATAATAAATATTAGAAACACCAAGTACTCTTAATAATAAGCATTAAAGGGGCCCTGGAATACCTTTCTTTAGTAACCATAGAATTAACTGGAAAAGCGTATTGCATCACAAATTCAACACCACAAAAATTTCAAGAATTCGTCCAGTACGAGCCGGAGTTACGAAGATTTGTCACATGCTGCAATCGAATTCTCTCTTTCTCTCGCCCTGACGAAAGCGCTGGAAGCTAAGCAGGGAGGGATGGGAGGGGCAAACAAAAAACACCATGCATGCTTCGTGACCTCGAGAACTTTTTTTTTCTTCGAATATGTGGCTTTTCCAGTGAGATCGCACGCGCACGCGTGTACAAGTGACTGCCTCCCGCGGCAATCTGTAATGACCGAGCGCGCCATGTTCAAATGAGCCAATGGATAATAAATGGGCTTACTATGAGTGATGTTTGGGCTTACTGCGTGATTTGTCGAGAGAAGAGAAAGCAATTTTTAGCTGACTTTGATAATTTATTGTGCATTCCAGGCTGCGTACTGCGCTATAATGTTTTGGCTCGCGTGTTAAGTGATGTCGGGAGGAGCCTCTACTACCGATCGGCACCATTTTCTCACTATGCTCAAAAAGTGTTGCAGGGCACCTTTAATAAGAAAACCTGCAAGGACCTACACGTTGAAAGAGTAATGTGAAAGGTTTCTTGTTTTAATCCCTGAATTACTAAGATGCGTGCAGCCAAAGGAAGTACGGGACTGTCGAGACTAAACTGGTCACAAAATAAAGACGTTTTCGCTTAAAATGCTAATGTTGCCAAATTGACCGAGTCTTTAAGCTATCTTCATCGTCACACGTATGTTATTGACTCATGAATATTGTTTAGTATTTATATGTTAGTTTCTTTTAAAAGCTGTTCATAAAGTGCCAACTTGAATACTTTAGTCACTGCTGTATTTCATCCTAAAGTTACAAAATATTTCTAATATCTAGTTGCTGCTGTACACGAGCATGCCTCAGTTTGCGTTAACTTGTCTTTTTTTTTTTTTTTGTCAGTTAAAAGTAACCATAACATCAATATGTAAAAGCTACTGAATATTTGTTTTTAAATAAATTTGTGACGTGGAATTCTCGGGCTGTTCTGAAAATGTATACATCATCACTATCCATGGCTATTTGATTCTAAAACTGACTATTCGCACACCCCTAGTGTTATGTATCTAAAATTGATACGTTCCCTGGATAACAGTGACCGTGAAAGTTTCAAGACGCACGTAATCGCGGGAGACTAATACCACGGCGGATAGATTAAGCACCACGGGGTGCTTTCTGATCCGCCGAGCCGTCTATTATGTCGGCGCGTTAGTTACGATTCAACCAAATTATACGCACCTCTACTTCCTCTCCTGCGGCGTTCAAGAAGAGTATCTCGGGCTTGGCTCCATGGATAACTTTGAACTCCGCGTTGGGACTAACAACGTTCAGTCAAGGTTTATCAACTTTCATTCATTTTTTTTTCTCCTGAACTTGAACGGAATAACTCATGTCTAAAATACTAATAAAAGGATACTACTCGGGAATGTCGTCGTAGACAAACCGTTTCACCTCGGGATAGGCATTCAGTCGTCATCCGCCGCAGCTCTGTAATAGAAAAAAAAAAAATAACATGTGACACGTAGGCACTTTTTCTTCTCGACGTTAAGTGCTACGCATTCCAAACGCACACGTAGAGTGCTACACGACTTTGGAAAGAAGAGAGAACGAATGCGTACCTCGACGCGGACATGGGTGATCACGGTATCCGTGGGTTTTGTCTGCTCTTCGCCTAGCACTAGGCTGGCGCATAGAAGCACGGCTAGAAGGCCGCGCACCATCGTGACTGACGCCGCGGCACAACCTCCTCCACGAATGGGCCGCGAAGGTCTGTTTGCAAAATCGCTACAACGCCGGCGATAACAGCAAAAAAACGGACGTCTGGAAGCGCGTACGTTCAGCTTCAAACTGACTCAGCTCGGCTTGAAAAGACTGCTGGTTGGCCAATTTTTTTGGCGCCAAGTTGCCAGCTGCGTGCGCGGCCGCCAATCGCTTGCTGCCACCGCTGCAGAACGTCGGAAAGCGCCTACACTTAATTATCTCGGAATAAATGGAATTTTACTAGCCCATCCCATACACCTGTGCCCCAGCCTAGACAATGAACCGAATGTCGCGGACGCCAGAGCAACATGATTTGATAAGGATTAATAAGGATAACCGTCTATCTCATTTGGATTTGGCAACAACAGCCGCGCCAAATTCAAAAGAACGCTACCAACATCGTGTACAGCACGGAAGAATTGATTGATTGGTATGTTGGGGTTTAACTTCCCAAAATCACCATATGATTGTGAGAGACGCCGTAGTGTAAGGGATCCGGAAATTTCGACCTCCTGGGGTTCTTTAACGTGCACCCAAATCTGAGCACACGGGCCTACAACATTTCCGCCTCCATCAGAAAAGCAGCTGCCGCAGCTGGGATTCGATCCCGCGACCTGCGGGTCAGCAGCCGAGTACCTTAGAGACTGCCGCGGCGGGGCTACAGCACGGACGATACAGAACGACGGCACAGAGACAAGGACACGAAGGTCCTTTTTGTCTCTGTGTCGTCGTTCTGTTCTCGCGCTATCGTCATGTCATACCAACTAGCCCAAGCTGCCACACTTCTAAGTTACAGCATGGAGGAAGAAAAGATGTTTCCTTCCTCCATGGTGTACAGCAAGGAGGTTTAAGTAACATTTGCTGGAGTTGAGGAGGCGGCCCTCAGGTGAAGCCGCGCGCCGCCATCTTGCCATGGGCAGAAAGCGCACCTTCCGCAACTTAAGCGGCTGCGGCCGCACAGATGTTCCGGATGTTCGCCGTTGTTGTGTAGCGTCCATTGTCCTTTCTTAAGGCTACACAGGTCAAGCGAAAAGGTTTTCTGGAATAATGTTTCAGTTGTGAGTGTCATACTTCGAGCTTGAATGCCGGAACACATGCATGTTGATAGCTGTAAACCAGTCTTCACATATCTCACGGTCACTATTCTTTTCCTTACGGATTTATTATGAACTCAAATGTTCGAAGCACTTCAGGGAGTGCTGTTGAACACTTGTGTCATTTTAGAGGCCTGACTTTTAGGCACTAAAAAACTGTGTTTTAGGCGCCAAAGAAAGGCAGGTAAAACACCGTTTTAGGCCCTCAAAATCATATTTATAGGCACAATAAATTCGTACAAAAATTGAAATATTCCAAAACAACTACGTCGGTGACTTGTATCTGTGGGGTAATAAAAATGATATTGTTTAAAATTTCAGAAATGTACCAACGATTGAACATATACATGCATTTCCCGCGCGATTCGCAGTATGTGGTCTTTCATTTTGTTGTCTAGTATTGTGCGTCAAGTGTCCACCATTCAATTAACACTCTCCTGGGTCTCTTTGGTTTCGTTGTGGCTGAGAAGGGCAGCACAGAAGCAAATAACCAGACCACTAATACTCCAGAAGAGAGAGATGCTAGGTCTAATCGCGTAGGACCACTTTCTCCCCTACCGGTGAACACCTTAAAGGGCCCCTCATTAGGTTTGGGCATTTCGAGCTGACAAGCGTAATGTTGCACCGGGTACTCCGGATCATTCCTGTTAAGACTTGCAAAATTACATGTCACGAAAAAACACTCAATTTCTAATGAATGCCACTTGCCCTTCTCGCTGGCATGCACCCCAAGATTTAGGGAGTGACGTACAGCAAGGAATAGTCCTGTTTTTACATAGCTCCTTTTCGTTGACATCGGTGGGCTGACGTCGCATACCGTATACGCTCTTCATCAAAAGTTCGTTGAATGCAAGCTATATCTAGAAAAACAGACGAAAAATGTCTCGTCTTCTGTTGATATTCTGCATTTTAAACGGTATATACCTCATTAAGAGCGTTGAAGGTGACATTACTTTATACTTGGCATGTGTAATTTGTGTTTTCTGTTGGGTAGCATGAATGAGGAGTACATTGGTTTGGGCGAGCTACTTCATATCGTTTGGATGGGAAGCGCAAAGACGAAAGAAAAAAGACAGACCGCACTCTTTGTCTCTGTGTCTTTCTTTTCCCTGTGTATTTGCACTGCCCTTTCAAAATAGGTATAATGAATGAAAGCCGAGAAAAATAATGAAACACGCAAACAGCATCTCAGCTACCTATTATTTTTATTGTTGTTTTGAATGGCCTCGAGATGTTATTCACTAATCGGCCCTCGTTTCGCATCCACCTCGATGGACCAGTCGCAATAGGGTGCTCCGGCAACACCACCTAGACTTTCTTTTGAAAAAAGTCTAGGTGGTGTTGGCTCCGGCTGCTGCTGTTCCGATCGCCGCAGGCTCGTTTGTGGCCGAGGCGGTCACAAACGAGGCGCAAAGGCCCGTGTACTGCGGGATGTAAGTGCACATTAAAGAACACCAGATGGTCAACATTTGCGGTGAGCTCCACTACAGCGTTCCTCACATTCATATTGTGGTTTTCTTTACGTAAAACCACACATACTACCACTGCTACTACTACTATATGCTACCGCTGCTACTACTACTACTACTACTACTACTACACTACTACTACTACTACTACTACTACACTACTACTACTACTACTACTACTACTACTACTACTACTACTATTACCCCATTTCGCTTGCGTTCTTCTTCTCGTCGTTCCTGCACCGTGCCTTCGCCAACCCTGACAACGTTTAGCTTGTGTTTGGTGCGTCGTCTCTGATCGCAGTTTCATCGGAGTGACGTGGTTTATCGCGGTCACAACACGTGATCCTTGCCAGCCTCTCCTATAAGGACACGCACTGATTGATCCATCTCACAGAAACTGGTAATAAACGACAGAGGATGTCGAAACGACATGACATCGTAAGCGTAGGCTGGGGCACGTCAGGCGCGCGTGACCTTGCTTACGCATGTTGTTCTTGGTGCCTATGCGTCATGTGATCCTCCAGCCGCGATACCGAAGAGAACAGGGAAGGAACGAGGCTCGCGAAGGCTACATGGAAGGAGAGGCTAAAAGCTTGCTTCTTCGCATCATGCTGTGGTGGCTTGTTGCAAACCAATTCGAAAAATCACCGTGGTAGATCGCTTTTCATTGGGCACGGCAAGAACTTATTCTAGTGTCTAACTTCAAATTATTATGTCACCCAGAGAGAGACTGCTTAAAAAGTAAGATACAAACAAAACAAAAGCCGCGTGCACATCACATTTTTTACCCGAAGGCGCTGCAGCAGAAGGGTTACAATGTTAAGGAAAACACGCCTTCATTGACGCAACATACTTTTTTCCTTATAGAAACCATTTCATTCCGTCATGAAACTAACAGAAACGAATTAATAGAAAAATTATCTCTGATACGTACGACATTCTAAAATCTAAATCATGCGTACCATTGCGCGAAGAGGACTGTTTAGGTATATTCATTTTCAAATGCGAGTTTTACCATGAAAAGCTTGAGGAGGAGGAAGAAGCTTGACATAGGAGCTTTAACCATAGTTTAATTTGACGTGAAGATAGCAATTCCCATCCTAGTTTATTTTTCATATTGTTACAGCTGTCATTTTTGAGTAATGGCTTAAGGACAAACCTTGAAGCCCTGTTCTATATTTTTTCATGTTTGTCACTTAAATAGATATGACAAGGGATCTCATACGGAACAAGCGTATTCAAGCATACGGTGAATGTATGCTAAATACACCATTGATTGTAAACATGCCGGCGCCTGTCTCAGGCTTCGCTTTATAAAGTATAACGATTTGGCAATTTTCGCCACCACTGAGTCAACAAGAGCATTCCATAAGTGGCCCTCTATGGTTCTTCATTCGTTTTCCAGCTACCCGCGGCTGCACATGCTGTTCCTTTCCCCCCCGCAACACCCATGTTTTCAGGATGGTTTTTCAGTTCCTTCAGGCACTGGGCAGCTATCTGTAGAAGGCAGTCGCCACGTTTTGTTACCCCATCTTCAATTCTTTATCCTCCTTCTCCTGCAGACGCTGAGACGTGCTTCCACTTAGGGCTGCAGAAATAGCGTAAAGCACTGCGCCGTGCTCCCGACGGGGCTGCAGAAATTAGGCACCTTTCTCCCCTTCTAACCACTACCAAATAGCGTCTTTTGCACTCCTTATGCTCCTCCTCCAATCGCTTGCAGCATGTCAGCCTTTGCCTTCATTGTGTTTGAAAATATTAATTTTGCCTTTTTTACGTGAATAATGGTTTCACTGGCAAGCTTTCCAAGAAACGAAGAATCTCATTAAGAAGCGTCACAGCATGAAAGTCTCAAGTACAACAGACAAAATAGAACTTGCAGAGCTTTCGAAGTTGATTAATAAGCGTAACGTATCTGATGTAAGAAAGTATAACATGGAGAGAATCGAACACGCTTTGAAAAACGGAGGAAGCGTCAAAGTAGTGAAGAGGAAACTTGGGATAGGCAAAAATCGGATGTATGCACTAAGGGACAAAGAAGGCAAAATAACTATCAATATGGATAGGATAGTTAAAATAGCGGAGGAGTTTTATAGAGATCTGTACAGTAGCCGAAAAAACCACGACTTTAATACTATAAGAACTAGCAGTAACCCAGATGACACCCCACCAGTAATGATAGAAGAATTCAGAAAATCCTTGGAGAGCACGCAAAGAGCATGCAAAGAGGCAAAGCTGCTGGTGAGGATCAGGTAACATCAGATCTGCTGAAAGATGGAGGACAGATTGTGTTAGAAAAACTAGCCACCCTGTTTACGAGCTGTCCTCTTACGGGAAGAGTACCAGAGTCTTGGAAGAACGCTAACATATCTTAATACATAAGAAAGGAGATGACAAGGACTTGAAGAATTACAGGCCGATAAGCTTGCTCTCTGTAGTATACAAGCTATTTACAAAGGTAATTGCTAACAGAATAAAGAAAACATTAGAATTCAATCAACCAAAGGAACAAGCAGGATTTCGAACAGGCTACTCAACAATCGACCACATTAATACTATCAATCAGGTAGTAGAGAAATGCTCAGAATATAACCAACCACTATACATAGCCTTCATAGATTACGAGAAGGCGTTTGATTCAGTAGAAATATCAGCCGTCATGCAGACACTGCGGAATCAGGGCGTCGATGAAGTATATATAAACATCCTGGATGAAATCTACAGGGGATCAACTGCTACCGTAGTGCTTCATAAAGAAAACAACAGAATACCAATCAAGAAGGGTGTAAGGCAGGGGGACACAATCTCCCCAATGCTATTTACCGCGTGCTTACAGGAGGTTTTCAGAAGCCTAGAATGGGAACAGTTAGGGATAAGAGTTAATGGAGAGAGTAACCTGCGCTTCGCTGATGACATTGCATTGCTGAGTAACTCAGGGGACGAATCGCAACTCATGATTACCGAGTTCGACGAGGAGGGCAGAAAGGTGGGTCTTAAAATTAATCTGCAGAAAACGAAAGTAATGTACAACAACCTCGGAAAGGAGCAAAGCTTCGAGATAGGTAATAGTGCACTTCAAGTTGTAAAAGACTATGTCTACTTAGGGCAGGTAATAACCGCGGAGCCGAACCACGAGATTGAAGTAACTAGAAGAATAAGAATGGGGTGGAGCACATTTGGCAAGCACTCTCAAATTATGACAGGTAGATTGCCACTATCCCGCAATAGGAAGGTATATAACAGCTGTATCTTGCCGGTACTTAGCTACGGAGCAGAAACCTGGAGACTTACAAAGAGGGTTCAGCTTAAATTGAGGACGACACAGCGAGCAATGGAAAGAAAAATGGTAGGTGTAACCTTAAGAGACAAGAAGAGAGCAGAGTGGATTAGGGGACAAACGGGCGTGAAGGATATCATAGTTGAAATAAAGAAGAGGAAATGGACATGGGTCGGGAATGTAGAGCGTAGAGAGGATAACCGCTGGTCGTTAAGGGTAACTGACTGGATTCCCAGAGAAGGCAAGCGGGTTAGGGGGAGACAGGAGATTAGGTGGGCAGATGAGATTAAGAAGTTGGCGGGTATAAATTGGCAGCAGCAAGCACAGGACCGAGTTAACTGGCTGAACATGGGAGAGGCCTTTGTCCTACAATGGACGTAGTCAGGCTGATGATGATGATGATGATGAATGGTTTCACACCACGCTCTAAAACAAAATTTGGGCTTGTACAGCGCTCATATAGGCGCTCATTTGGGAAATAGGCATGTATAGGCACTTAGGCACGAACAACCAAAATAGGCATTTACATAAGGCACTACAAAAACACCATAAAAGCCCTTCTTAACCTTTTATTAATGCTCATATATCAAAATGGCACCGTAGGAATGCAAGGAACAAAATAGGCATGCGCCTATAATCCGGTCTGTAGTCATTAGATGACGGGATGACTGGTAACAAAAATACAGCGACCACATATGTAAGAGTTACAACCAGACTGAACTGTGACCCGCAAGTTGTCCAGCTGAGCTAGACGTGTTTTTAAAACACCTGCAATGTCCTCTCATACACATTTGTTTTTGCTTGCTGGTACCACTAGAGTGGTAAGCAAGTGGGAAAATAACACACCGTTAATTATACTATTCGTTGAAATTAAATACGCGTCTCCATCATTTAGTTTTTAATTACTGGCAGCTGCGTCGCCGGAATAGCTCACAGTGCACGACACGGACGAAGTGAGTGCCCTGTCATGGTCATAAACATTGCGTAGCCAAAAATTTTTGTCGGGGAGGGGCATTTTGTTGTTTTCGGGAGGGGCCCGCCCTTGAAATGACCATTTTTTACTCTCTATGCTTTGGCGAAAACAGTTCGGGGGGACGGAGAGGGGGGGGGGGGGGGCATGGGCTTGGTGTGCTAATCTCTGGCAACACACCTGCTTCTCAGTAGTGGCAATCAGAAGCTAAACTCGCTACCACGAGGGTAGTTAACATTGTTTGGCCAACACACAGGGACCTGTATTTTTTTTTACATTCGTGCCTTTTATTTTGTTATTTGAAGTGCAGCGAGCAAAATAAACCAGTGTCTGAACTGTGCAATGTTCTTGGTTCAACTAACTGCAAAAAAAAAAAATAAAAAATAAAGACAGACCATAACCGAGGGTTACTCGTGCCGTTATATGTGTTCAACTTGACGATGTGGGAGTTGCATCGGCTACACGACAGCTTTTACAAAGAAAAAAGAAAAAAGAGGATCGAAGGTTCATACGTTTTCTAAGGGGATCTGAAACAGCTGCAAAAGAAAATTCTACCGCAGAGAAATTGTGGTGAACTAGAAGAGCGAGGCTTTAACCTCAAGCTAAAATGAAAGGGATCAAAAATCAAAAGCCCCATTTAGAGAGTGGGAGGGGGGAGCTCACTGCAGCTTTCTCTTATACGTACATCTTTTTTTTTTTTCTGATTAGCATATCCTTTATCGTGGGAAGCTTGGGAAACCCACTTTTATATTTTATGCAGAGTGGTCGAAATCTACTTATGCATAAGATTTCGTCACGTGAAGAATAAAATGAACAAGAATATGAATGCCGAGAAAGTTTCGTCGGTGCGCACGATTGCAAAGAAAACGCCTAAAGAAACAGAATAAGATCGGCTGTATTCTTCTTTGCCATTCGACTTCTTATTCTTGACAATTTACCACTTAATGTCCTCCATAATCGTTAAAAACCACGGCGGAAAAATGGCGCGAGCGCGCTTTGGCTACCGTATCTTGCCTGTGGCAAGATGGTCGCCACGGCTTCACTGCACCCCATCGGTATGTATAGGCGGCCTCCACTCGAGCAAGATTTATTTAAACGTCCTTGGCGTACAGCAGGTAACCAAGCGAAAACATAGTAGCTGCAGCTGTAATATATATTTGAGAATGGCAGACAAATATTGAGATAAAAGTAACGACATTCAGGGCGTGTTTTAATGTGGTTCATTGTTGCACGTATGGTACACGTTCCGAAGCTTTCTTTGCAAACTTTCCCTCGTTTTGTGTGGTCGTTGCCTGGTGGCCAGGTTACCTCTTACTTCTTGTATGCATTTGTTTTTATCCACAAACAAATGTGCGAGTTTATTACGTAAGGACATTTACAATGCATTCTACGTTATAAGAAGAAAAGCAGCTCCAGGAAGTATATGTGCTTACTTGCAGTGTTTTTACAACGCAGTTATGAGTAATAAACAGACTAAAACCCGAACAGGTAATGTTGGCTCACTAATGTCACTAATGGATTGGCTTCGATTCGCTTTTCACTGCTTCACATACTATGAGTGAATGTGCATTTGTGCACTTTCAGCATCAACCGCAACTGTTTCTCTTCTCTTTTGCATGTTGGTACATATAAACGCTAGAGTTTTATACTTTAGCACAAGCTAGGTAACAAGCCTTATATATCTCTAGTGCAGTGTAGAAGCAGCTGCTAGTAATTACACCAGTTATGCATTTGTGTACATGCACTATTAATTAAACAAATGTGAAAGTGATCTGACTGACTGATCTTACATTAGTTTAAAACAGAATTTAAAAAATCGTAGCCATCATTTATTTTATTTTTTGACAAGGAAAGATTTTTCAAGTTTGTCTATGTGAGCACACTTCTTCTTGCATGCACATTAGTCATGTGCAAAATATATGTGTACATTTTTTAGTTGTTTGTAGTTACTGTTTATTGTGACATGCATGCACGGTGGCCAGGACACAGGTCAAGCTGACTTATCAGCTTCCCCCCCTCCCCTGTCTTCCACCTACATTATAATAGTAAATAAATAAATTTGCATATGATAATTTTTTTCAAGATAGGCTGAGGTTTCTGTGCCTAAAGTAATGCAAACACAGGAAAAGAGGATTAGCATTTGGATTGCAATACTTCTAGTGACTAGAGGTACAAAATGGATTTCATATATTTTCTCAAATAAACAGATTTATTTCGTCATTTGAGCATGTATTTCCAAGCAAGGAAATATGTTTTGTCTCTTCTTAAACCATTTTAACTGCTCTATAAGAATAATACAGTCCTCTCAAAGTATCAGCTATAGGCACTCGACACCTTGATCATGGAAGTTTAAAAAGGTGACAGCAAAGTATGACACTACATGCATTTTTCAAATATTTAGGACAACAGACTTTTACAAAGATTATTTAAAATCACCGCTGCACTCCACAGAGACATGACATGGTTTGTGTAAAGAAAGTGAATTTTATTTGCAACATGTATGGAACATTGATCAACCACCACCATTCATAAAAGGCATGGATGAAAATACCAAATATAAATAAAAAGTCATCATAAAAACAGACACACCTTGAATGAGATAACTGAGAAGTTGAGGATTACATAAACAAAGGTAGCAATGTCGGCCCGCTTCTGTAGAACAACAATCACGACTAGACAGAGAGCGAACTCCTCACACACCATGTAAAACACAAATAGTAAAAAAACTTTTGACAATTGTCCTCTGTGAGTTCATTCTCTTGACTACACACATAACCATTTCAAAATAATAGAGAAGAGATTTGAACTTTAAACATGAGAAAGGGAAACACATCAGCTCAGGCAAGCACATTTTCAGTATCATCTTTTTAAAAGAGCAGTGACAGCATTTTCGACTAGCAATTTTTCTTGCGTACGTTAAATTCCATGCTCTTTAAACTCTGGAAAAACTATCGGTAAGGATGACAGCAGCCTAGAAAATTTAATGAAATAACTTTTCTATGAACTCACTAAGGTTTCAGAAAGAAGCAAATGAAATAGTTTTCGCTCCATTTTGGAAATTAAATGCAGCTGCAACAAACAACCAAAGCAAGAAGAAAAACATGGAGCACTTCTGTTTTTTTCATGAGTGACGTCAAAGTGCCAAGGTTCAAAGCAACACAACGTGAAAAATTTTAATTTGTCTTATGACGTCCCGTGCAGTGTCAATAACACACAAGGTACGGTTTTGAAACTTCGAAGATGTACAATTGTTTTTTTTCATTCGTGCCAGGTGTGTGGGATACCACTTTGACAACTGCGAAAATTTCTGTCACTGCTTCTTGGTAATACTGGCTGTGCTGCCATCACGTATATCACACATTAAACAAAAAAAAAAAAGAATAAAGACAAAAACGTCTCTGAACAAAAAGTTTTAGACAAGTTTCCAGAGGCTTGACAGTCTAAAATCCTTATTGCCACCACCCCTTCCTCGCCACCAGCAAGTCAGGTATCACAGGTTACAGCTCTTTTACTAAGAAAGTCACCAGCATAAAAAAATCTGTTGAACAATTTTAGGACACTTTTTTACTAAAATCATTCTTAAAACAGTCTTACTGGAGAAAATTCATCTTGCGAGTGTGTGTTTCAAATAATTGCAACAGGGAGTAATTATTTTAAAACTAAAAAACTGTAGTCACACAAACAAAAGTCGAATGCATACATATACTGTTGTCTATCACATATCGAGGGAAGAATTCACTCTGAACAGTTTTTCATCACAAAAGCAATTGTATCGGGCCAGTTGGTATGAATCCATCTTGGTAGGAAGCGCAGCAACTATTACACGGAACACACAACACAAACACTTATGTGTAATAGTTGCTGCGCTTCCTACCAAGATGTTTTCCTCACAGCCTCTCTTCAAGTGCCAACGCCCAGTAGTGTATGCGACGCATATAATACACCTCAGCAACCGAACTTGTTTTAAGAAGCCACTGCATAATACATTCAGATTCAAGGAAAAGTAGTAATAACAACAGAAGTAAACTTTGAATAAAAAAAAAAGACAAAAGATTACTCTCAATAGACCTTCCATTGTACCAAACAACTTGCAAGCGATATAACTTGCCCAGTACATCATTCGTAGAAACGAAGTAGGGTAAACTTTCTGAAAAACTTTCCAACGATACAACCATTGTCTTTTTCCTGCCCCTACAATAGGTACCTTGTAACTGTTCTTATTGAAAAATATCCACAGGCTTCTCATCCAACAACTCCACATGAAAGCGTCAAAAATGGCGTGTTTTCATATATCATGCGAGATTCATCCCATGTTGCAAATGTATGGGGTTGTACAAAGTTTCGTGAGATGCCTTTCTATGCGTATGTGAATATCCATATAAGAATGAAGGAATCTCACACATTCTATCGGTATGAGACTGTGTATGGAATTTGTAACAGCTAAAAAAAAATGTGGATCGTATGGGACTCTCCTGATACAATGAACAGAAACATTTGGGGTTTCACGTGAAAACCCACACGGTCATGTGGAATCATTGGATGTGAGATGTAACACTTTCGTTAAAAATGTGCACACACATATATAGATCTTGACATTTCAGAACCAAACCTGAAAAAGAAGCAAAAAGTGAGACTCACCGGGATGTGAAAAGCTGAAATTGGGTTTAAATATTGCGTGTGCTTCACAACCACATACACATATGTGCAAGAGGATCCTATATAGAGTCAATCTACTACAGTGAACTACTTTCAAACACCACTCATAAAACAACCTCTTAGCACTCTATGTGATGATCAACACTGTATAGAGATACAAAACTTCTTTGTGTAATGTCAATAATGCTAAAGCATTTGAAAATGCGCCATGTGCTAGTGCCGACTCAGCTGTCTGATGAGCAGAGTTTTCTATAAAAATTACTACGGAGAACCCTGGTCTGTGGAAGCTGTAAGCAAGTGCACAATGGGTAATATGATCTTGCCCAAACTTCATCCTTTTGGGTTCAATTTGCTCTGTCTTTAATTTTCAAAACAAATCATATTTAAAACAAAATGATAAACAATTTGTGGTTATTAATGCATATACAACGAAACTAAAGCACACGATAGCCTAAAGGCATTGCAAGATAATGCATAACAGATGGCGCACACTAGCATTCTTTATGGTATAGTAACGAAGTAACAGCACCAAAGTTCTCCCAGGTAATTTTCGTAGAGAACTCAATGTTCTACGAAAAGCTTTGTTCAGGCCAAGAAGACTATTATTCTCGTACAAACTCAAGGCATAAGCTACGACATCTAGGTGCAGTGGAAAGGATTACACACAAGCGATATTCGCACATGACACCCAGATAGATAGCACAACATCAAGAAGAAGGAATGACGCTTCGGTCCTGAAATGATTGGCTGCCTTTGGCACGCATGCTTTGGATGTTTACATTGCATAAAAATTGGTGAAAGACTCAGCAGAGAAATAACATTGTCTGCTAGCTCACAATGTACTAAACATAAAACCTTTGAAAATTCAAGCTTTTGATTTGTTACATTGTAATGATAACATTTGAGCTAACAATGGGAGGGAATGGCATGATAGTCTACGTATGAACGTTTTTTTTTTTTCTTGAAGGGGGTTGAACGGGCAGGTTTGCTTGGACATGTACATTAGAGAACTTGTTTGATGCTTCTCCATCATGTATTATCTTGTCACTTATATATATGCTTGCAAATGAGCTTATAAAGCTCATAAGGGAGAGAGTACATGTTCCTTTTTTTTTCCCAAGGACGCTTTAAAAGCATGCTGACCCATACATGTACAACACTGAGCTTATGAATACACAGGTAAATCACATTATCTATCTGTACATACCAGAGAACATGAAGAACACTCCGGTGGAGCCGCATCCGAAAACTCCATGTATAACACATTTTTTTTTTAAAACATCATGAACAAGGTTTTTCTTTGTTTTCAAATGGTCACTTCCAGCAATACACTTTCACTTCTGGGTAAACACACCCAGCACCGTAGAACAGTGCCTTGCAGAAATAAAGAGCAAAACTGGACAATGCTTTGCGTGTTCGTTATAGTCGACACGTTCGACGACAATGGGATGTTAAATCAATGGCCGCAAGAAAACCAGGCCACCAAAACGTTCTCACAGGCTGTCAGCATCTGCTGGCAAGAACCATTCGGCATACACGCAAAATGAGCTTTTGCTGCGGTGCCCTTAGCTCACTGGGTTGGTTATACAGCAAGGGGAAAGGTGTAAGCATTGAAATATCTAACGGTGTCGCTGAAAACTCATATACAGTGAATACAAGTACTAAATATGCAAAGGTAAAATAAATGGGAAGCAAACAGCAGTAGATGAATGGTACAGCACTGGTCTCATGCAATTGTAACTGTTCATGCTTCGACCACACTACGGGGGGCTGCGTGATACAGAGCAATCAAAACAAATGTAAAATTAGCACTCACATAGTACACAGTGAACCCAATAGCTGCCGTGCTATGAGCTTAGAAAACCACCCCTGACAACCAGGGAACAAATCTTGAGCTACCCGTCGAACGCTTAGCTACTCAGCAGAGACGAGTTGCGTGAGAATGATGGTGTGAGCAAAAACGAAAAGCCATAATTCCCAGAAAATGCCAAAGATATAAGTGCATTAGTGGTACAAAAAAAAATAAGGAACCAAGATGTGTTTTGTTAAGCGAAACTCTTAAAACAGTGCCAAACTTTCTTCCATGTTACGGTGCAGAATGATGCTTGTAATTCCACAATTATAAATTAGCTGCAGCATGACTGCTCAGTGAACCCAGTGTCAAAACAAGAAACGCTCGTACTGCACCAAAGTAACTGGGAATAACTGCACAAAAGTAACTGGCAATGCACAAAAGTAACTGGCAATGTAAGGCTTCCATAAATGAAGGCGTGGAATGAGTAAAAACACTTCCCCAAACTGTGGTTTTTCAATAGTGAAATCCCCATCTCACTGCGTCTAACGTGAGCACATCAAGTAGAAGAATGTGCAGTGCCTCAAGCCATAAACATGCAAGGACAGACAACTCCCGCAGCTTGATATCACAGCACAGCAGACCGGAGTGTCACTAACACTTAAAAATCTTGGTTGATAAAGAAATGCACACCAATACATAAGGTGTAGCTGTATATTACACTAATGCTGTGGTAACACTGCATCTTTGTATTGATGGGATGAACAATTACCAAGAGACTCACCAGACAGGTTGTGTCAGGCTGCCATTGAAACTCGCACAAAGAAACAGTCCTGCCAGGTCTTCAAGAGCAAAGAATTGACATAAAACTCCACAGGTCAAACGGAGCTTCATTTTGTCAAGGCGCTTTCATCCTCAAAGCTACCGTACCTTTAGGACAATGATGGCAAATTATATAGATGCACTTGGACAAGTAGACAAATTCTCAGATAAAAGAAACTGCGAAAGTACTCTGCACAAACCTTCTCAAGAATCAGCACGCGCTACAGTTTAAAAGTGTAGGAAGTCTAGATTGTGGCCCAGATCATTGAGCAGTGATTACATATATAGTAGTCCTTGACACAAAGAATAATTGCGAAAAACCGCCACATGACCAGCTGCCTTTACAGCGAATTAAATAGTGTCCTATAAGATAAAATAAGGAACACAAGGCAAAAAAATGACTTAGCAATGAACAGTGTCCTAAAAATTGAGGCTGGACCAGCTGCGATTGCCTGGTTATACGGTGTGGCCAATCATTAGAGAGAACACAAAAAGGTTTCTGTCACCTATCGACGGCATCTCTAGCCTTCGCCAGCTGGTAGAAGTATAGCCGTGATGACACTGGTTAACAGGTTCAAGAAAACAGAGCCCCATCTACCTGCCAGGGGCATTAGCTGCAACACCAACTTCTTTTACACTTGTCAAGGAAGAAAATTTTGTCATGACTTGTGTGATGTCTCTAGCAGTTGACCACACTGTCATAAGCCCCATTAGGAGTTGTGGCTGCCTGTTTGTGCCAATGTTTGCTTCGTAAGCAGGAAACACCAATGTCCAGTTAAATGTGTCTGAAGGCATAAATGTGTCGTGCGTCACCAGAATGCATGTCGAAACATCACTCACATACACAAAAGACAGTTTAGATATGTCATTAGGCAACGTTATAAACTCAGCCAAAGGTTCTCTAAGACCCTCCACACTAAGCCTGGTTATGCGAAGAAAAAGAAAATAAACCTTGTTATAATACAGCCTGGGACAAAAATAGGAGGTGCTCAAGGCCGGATGAATGCAAAAGCATGCATCCCATTTACCCTTTGGTTTCTTTATTAGTTAGCCAAAGTAACATTCAAAATGTGCTTGAAGTTTCTTTCATCAAATATTGTCCATTTCTGTATCCTTTGGCATCACAAGGATTCGCGCATCATTTATTTTTCTTAGAGAGATGAATGGCAGGAATGTGCAACAATTGCAGTGCCCTCGCTTTCACCTCATATACAATAAGTGGTAAATTTATGCGGGCAGACAAAGTAGTTAATATGATATGGATGTTGCAAGCGCACTTTTCATCACGATTCCGATCAAATTTCTTGACCTCAATTGGCTACCTCCTGCACCGCAAGCAAACAAGGCAATCGTAACCAAGAAGCTGAATTGAAATTACGCTCAATAGCAATTGAGATCGAATAGTGCTCTGTGCAATACCTGCACAAGAATTCTTACAATTGAATTCTCACCTATAAGGAGTGCTCGTTCCCGTGACTACCTTTTCTTTTTTTTACTTCCCGTGTCAATTTCACTTGGCTTCAGTTTTGGAAAGTTGCCCTTTCACGGGGCAACACAGGCCTTAACAATTCAAATCTGCACAGCCAATACTGGCTTTGTGACATTTACAGGTCAATAAATGACGTTGCATAACTGAATATTCATGCTTAAGTGCTCACAAATATTGACAGAAGTGCAAGACAAGATTCCCTGTGATTCCCATAGCTAGTTATGTATGTAAAGTGGTATTGATGTATCTGTAGGTGCAAGTGTTGCGCCTTGTGTGTTTCATCATTTTTTCCCGAGGCTCTGTCCCTTGTGCACAATATTATATCCCCCTATGACATAACAACTAGCCCAAATGGTACTGTTGTGACAAACATACACTGATTCGAGTAACTAGCAACACAATCTTAAATAGAGACAAGTAAAAAACAGCTGGTAGAACGAGCAGGCAAGTAAATGTGTGTTGTGTGGAAGCTGCCAACATGACTAATGATACTTAAAAGTGATGGGGAAATTGATGGCTGTAAATTTTTATGAAATTGATTGAATAGTAAGGAACAGGTTTCAAGGGCTAACATAAAAGATGCACTTTGCCAACTTTTGGCAATATTCACACATAAATACATGAAACATTTTTCAGTTTGAAGGTATGCATCGCAATGACTCTGTAGTTACAAAGTGTTCAAAATATCTGAACTCCAAACTGTGTCAAATCAAAATGTTTCACCAAAGACACAACATGGTGCTTTGTGGTTAAGTTATGTACAAAATGACAAATTTCTTTTTTTTTCTGCAACACCTTGCAGTGTTGCCAAAAAAAAACCTGCAAGAATTGAAACCGCCGTGCTGGGCTTACCGACAATAAACCTACTCATCAAAACCTTGCTGGCCATTAGCACAGACTATTGCAAGCTCAAGCGATTGACCAATCGAAATCACAAAGCAATACATATCTTGCATCAACTAGCAGCAGTTCAGCCCGAATGCATCTACACACTCCAATCGCAAGGTGCATCGGTCAGTACAAGCCTGACCACATGTATCGCTCGTCTGTTATGCTTTAAGTGTAATATATATGAGCAGCTAATGTGATTCGTTGCTTGAGGGACATTGTGATGAACAGGACAAAATTAAGGGTAAACAAAACACCACACCGGATTATGTAGCTAATGCACTGGATAATGTGATAGGAATAGTCAATGGCTCATTTGAGATATTATCTTATATCGGTGACCATGACGACAGCAAGGCTTGAAGAAACACTGCAAAGGAATGTCTGGGTAAGATGGCTCTCTCGGATACGAGAAACATCACGAGCAAAGTGTGATTACTGTCATCAATATCGTGAGCGAGAACTTGGCAATAAATGATAACGTTTTGAAATTACCAGTGCTATTTTCCTGCAATATTGTTGATTTTGACAGTGCACTTGTCAGAGTATAGTAAGCTCTGTTTGTACAATAAGGTTCCGTTGCATTCTAAATAAACCACAGATTCAACTCTGTATAATTTTCTTTTTTGCATAATTACTATGAAATCATGTGAATATGTACTGAAATCAGTGATGCTGCAGTGACATACCAGCCCTCTGGTCTGGTCGTAAAATTCGGCACAAGCAAGTTTTTTTTTTTTACCAGGAATAAACTCCTTTCTGCAAAACAAACTAAAACAATACTCTATAATAATACTATACAGGTTTTAACTAAATCATAGCTGCCCTTTAGAGTCACATTAAGTACAAGGATGGCTAAGAAGTTATGCAATATGTGAATTTGTGACTCAGGGGTGCCGGCAAAATTTTAGAATGCGAGCAGTGAATAAACTACAACTTTGGTATGCTAGACAACAACAAACACTTCTGCTCTTATGTTAATGCTGATGCTGAGAGGCAAAACCAGCCAAAAGGATGTCTTGATGCAATGAACATTGATGAAAAAAAAAGACATATCACTATACCTAGTGCAATGACATTACTCTAAGTGAGGATTAAGAACCTTGAAAGATTAGGAAATTGTAGCAGCGTGCAAATAAATCCCTTCATTGCATGCATTATAAAAGGGAAATATTGTCATGTACCCATTTGCAGCTGGAAGCTTCAAACTGCCATGCCTAATATTGTTTGCACCAAGATACTTTTTAATCCTATTCACACATTAATGATATTCTAAACCACCAATCTGCAATGCAAAAAGGTAGTCAGCACAAGGAACATAAAAAGAAGTCCGAGAACTACAACTTTGGTTCATAACGTAAATAAGCTTGCAATGTGTGTCGGTTCACATACAATAACTTGAGTTGTAATGTACACGTGATGTTAGTGTGCTTGGATGGAAAGCAGCAATAGCTGGGAGGGATGGAATGGACAGTTATAGAGAACATTGAACCGGGCACCGTCACAGCATCCACTTAGAGCTCAGCAGTATGCCAGCTGACAACAGCGCTGCTGAGAACGTTGGTGGCCGACCGGAGGGCATTGACAACGTAAGAGAGGCACTCGCGCACGCGGTTCCAGCTCGGAGAATGGTTGTCCTGCCGGGCGTTAGAGATGGCCGCCGTCAGGTGCGGAAACAGCACGCTGCGGTAACCGCTGTCCACGTCCGGCCCGTAGATGACGTGCCTGTCATCCCGAAACCCAAACCGGGGTCAGACAACGTCCTCAGGATGAGACTTATACAAAAGTGATTCTGCGCACAGTGTGAACTCCTAGTGAACTATTAATAAGCATTAAAGTTCACGATGGAACGTATAAATGTTGAGCTAGCAGGTATGTGAAAGCAAAAGGAGCATTTCTTTGCTATATGCAGGGAAATTAAAGTACATCAGTTCTTAAGGGGACACTAAAAAGAAGGACATTTTCTCATATTATTAAATTACTCTTTTATAGTTGCAAAATCACCAAGCTTGCCAGAGAAGGAGTTGGACAAGCAGAAACACGCCAAAAGAAAATGCGGGCAGCGATGCCACCACCTTGAATTTCCCCCACGAATCGCTTGACATCGTTGATTTTGACAGCATCTATACTAGGGCTCATCCAGTTCCTAATCAGTAAAATTGAAGCGCACTGTCCAATCCAGAAACATTACATACCAGTTTTCAGAAAATTTTGTTGAGCCAAGTTTGCCAAAAGACACGCACGCACACGCACGCGCACACGCACGCACACACACACACACACACACACACACACACACACACACACACACACAAAGTATGCGACGTCGCCCATCAGAGATTTCGGGAACTTAAAAAGTGAAACTTTTGACATTGATTTTCTAGTCTATGGTAGTGAAGTTATTAATGATGCTACGGTTTACCAGGGTACAATTTATCAGTCTAAAATAATTTACTGTTTCACATTAGTGTTTTTGCAGCAACTGTGAAATTCGATCCTAATGGTGCGCACGCTATATCAGCAAACATTAGTGGACGGCTTGTAGATCCTTTTACCTGCTGCACTTTCAATGGGAAGAGACTGCGAAATCCACATCTTTTCCTGGAGCAGCCAGGTTCTCTTACAACAGCCTTTTGGAGAGCTATGCAAGACTGTATCCAAAAGAGCCAGCTGCCAGCCTTACATTGTATAACATTACAATTTGCCATTATCGTTTTCACTGAGTTTCTTTAGTAGTGAAACTGTGATTTTCTTTAAGGGGTAAGCAGCAGCGGGTTGTAAGCAGCTATAGATCGGTGTTGTCATGCATAACTGTAACATGCAAAATCAGTAATGCTTGAAAATAGATGCGACTTCGAATGCGGCAGTGCCTGTGTTGTTTTACGACACGAGTACTGCCGAATGCTTGCTTTACGCTGTCGCAATGCCGCTGCTGTGCTTTGTACAAGTTAGGTTAACAACCTGAACGATAGTCCTAAGCAGTACCTGCCTATCCAGCACGAAAACTAGTACGCCCTCACCTGTAGTGTGGGTGGTGCGGATAAGCTGCCGGGAGGAGAAACGCCCTTTCCAGTTGCATCAGCCGATCATTGTACTCCTGAAGAGCCAGTAACAAGCTGTACAAAGAAAATGAAGGCAGTGTTACACCGTCGCGTCTTTGAAACCGGTCGGATGGCTGAAAAGCTGTGTTTCGGAAGGTTATATACCACACACTGTAGCCAAACGCCACGAAAGACGACCTGCAAAGACGGTAAGGAAAGACACTCTACTTGCCAACCGCACATACTAAATAGCTGTGAAAGTATTCCCATGCACATTCGGACCTATTCAGCAGGCATTTCAGTTGATGAAATCTGCACGCATGCAGAGCACATAGTGGCGAATCTAACCAAAAACCAAGTACTGGCAACATTAACACTGCTACATCCTATGCAATAAGCACCTATCTCATTGTGATGCATACAATGTTGTACAGCATAGAAAGCATGAAGATTTGGAACTATACTAAAGGTTATGACTACACCAAACAACGCAAATTGAAGCGCGTATGAGAATGACGGTTGGTCCACTTTACCTTCAATGCTTTTTGAAACCACTTAGTTGTTCAAAGCAGTAAATTAATTACTTTAGTCTATTAAACACTACTTTGCTTCACTTCACAGAGGAACAAGCAAGGTCTTTTCAAGCAGGTTTAATGAGTAGCGCTCATGACGGTCAGCACAAAAAAGGGACATAGAAAAACTTGTGTCGTGTACTTTTTTGTTTCTTTGTGTCCCTTTTCTGGGCTCATCGTCGTGAGCATGTTCTAACTAGCCCAATTTTCTACATTAATAAGTAACACAATAGCAGCTAAGAATGTAGCCAGATTTAATGTTACTTTTTCTGCATATATGTGCCGGTGCTCGTATACAACAACTAGTACACTAACATCATTGCAGTGACGAGAGAAGTTTGTGGGTAAATTTGTTTCTACCCGGCTGGCTTTATGCACTATGATCATTTTTGTAATGTTTTCTATACAAAGGTTTACTTGTAAGCTTTGTTTCATTACTTAGTTTATGCAAATATGAGTTCAAATTAATACTTATGCTATAACTGGAATACATTCAACTTAACTGCACCATAACGAATAATATATTACACACAATGGAGCACTTCTCACACCTATCCCCACTAGAACAAAGTGGAAAACGAAAGAATAACCACATTTGATCTTTTTTTGGTATATTAAAAATGCGTCCAGCTAAGTTCAAGAAATTTCAATTTCAGATTTTCTGCAGTACATAAAAGGTTCCTCACTTATTTTTGTTCATCTCCTCGTAGTTGTCGTGGAAGTTCAGCGCTGCCTGCTCAAACTGGATCAATGACTTGGAAAGTGGCTCTGAAAAAAATATTCATATGCATGCGATAGATTGAGTGTGTGTCCTTTACAAAAAACTGCTACATAAGCAAGAAAAAGAATGCTGTTATAGTATGAAAGCTTTCAGTCTACGTTAAACAATTCTTTTGAATCACACGAATTTAACACAATTGTGTGATAGGAGTTTAACTTCTCAAAGCAAATTGGAACCTATACGAAAGAATGATAAAGATGTTAAAACCTTCAGTTCCATTACAAGGAGTGTCCTCGAGAGCAAGAAGGGTTTGAGATTCAGCTGTTTGCCCCTTCAAGAAGCTTTGATAAGGGACAATGAAATGATTTCAAGGAGTCTCATTGAGTTGGTAGCATAGCTTCATCCAATCATTGTTCAAATTTAAGTGTTCCGCATAAAGTGTGCAATTTGTGTCAATGTTTTAAATGCGTACGTCTCCACATATAGCAGCAAGCTGCCACACTGAATTTCCAGTCACGTCTTTCTTTTGGGGCGTGGCATCATTTTGGTGGGATGTTGGTGGGATGTAACTCATGCGACTAATCTCATTGGCTTCATAGTGATTGTACAAGAAAAGAAAATGTGAGTGGCCAGATTTGTGGCGACACAAATATCAAAAAAAAAAAAAAACAAGTGCCACACCCTCGACTATTTATAGAAAAGTGGCGTAGGATCATGAAAAGCTTTGTAGTTAAGCCCCGACTGCTCAGTGGTGAGTATGATAACAAAAAGTACAACTTAGAGTCAACGCTAATGGCCCCTAGATTTCCTGATAAAACAAGCTTCACTTAAAAGGACACTAAAGTCAAATACATGAGAGTGAAAGCTCAATGTACAACAACCAATATTATCAACAGCAGTGCCCTGCTTGCCGAGAAGTTAAGGTAAATGCAAGGGAATACATGCACCGTAGTAGGACATTCTCAAATCCGATGACGTCAGATGATCCCGATGACGTCAGACTAACCGCTTACAATCACTAGTAATCGATCCAGCTGCACTAAATAAAGAACCTTCCATGCATCCAGAAACGTAATAAAAAGTTTCTTGTTTGTTTCTGTTTGATTCATGAAAAAAGAACCACTGGAAGCTACTATAAGGAATGGCTCGAGTGGTTCAGAAGTTCAATTTTCGCCTGGTTAAGCTGGACAGGTCTTGCCATCTATCGGGACCCAGTTGAACTAAAACACGTCTGCTATATCGGAGCCATTGACAGCCGCTGTTTCTGCTGTGGCTCCCGCTGCTTTTTTTCTGTTGTTACTCGTGTCGGCGGCCATGCAGTAAAGCCGGGCAACGTTGTGCATGGCAACAGTGACGTGAGACGTTCTGCTTGAGGCAGGTAATTTTAAGTGTGATAACCCGATGCGGACCGCTAAAACTTGATTTTATTTCAAAATAAGCACTTCTTTGGCACAAAAGTAACACTACAAGGTTTCTGGACCGCTATTTGAACAGTCCACGTTGACTTAATAGTTGCCTTTAGTGTCCTCTTAAATTGTGATGGAAATAATATTGTTAGTTGTAGGTTAACAGCTTATATAATTGCAACAGGGACCCTTTAACGAGCATCTATAGGTCTAAGGATATGAACAGTTTTGCGTTTGGTCCCCAATTAAATGCAGCTTACTACCGATTCTGGGAGTCAGGCCTGCAATCTTGATCACTAAGCACACCTTAGTGGCCTACAAACAAGGTTTACCAAGTGTTATTCTTCTCTGAGCATTATACGAAGATAACGCTAACTGCCACAGTTTCCATGTACTCTGAGAGCTCATCTTAGCTTTAGCAGTCTGCCAATGTGTGCTCACATTCTAGAGCACTGTTTCATTTTCCTGGGAAGGCAGTGCCAACCACTGACCGAGATCAATGTTGTGATCCTTGAGCAGCGAGCCGTAGGTCTTCTCGAAGACGACGTAGTCGAGGCGGATCTGCTCGGCGTAGTCAGCCGCGTGCATGGGCAGCTGAAGCGAGTCCACCAGTTTCAGCAGAAGCACGCCAACCACCCGCACTAGGCTGGCCAGAGACCGCAGGCCCGGATCGGTCTGGTTCACCACCATCTCGTATGTGTCGTATGCCGTGTGGTAAGCTGGGTAGTCCGATGCCTGTTCGCCACCAAATAGGCACATGACAAGGATCAGAATGACCCACATGCAATTTCCGATTACTAGAAAATATTGCTGTACAATATCATGTTTTGTGCACGGTCAAACCTGGATATATTGAATATGAAAGAGATCACAAAAAAGTTCTACACAGTAGACTCTCGGTAAACGGAAACCCGTTAAACGAAACTGCTGCTTAAATGGAACCATCTCCGATATGATTGGTTCAGTACTTGCATTCTGCGCCCTTGTTCATCTCTCAGTAGACAGAACTCCTGTTAAATAAAACATATTTTCCTGGTGCCTTCAGGTTCCGTTTAAAGCGAGCCTACTGTATATGAGTAATTTGGCATATGAGACATTTTATACATCGCAACTAGTACATACAAGGGGAATTCACAATTGTTAAATATAAATGCCAATTCATTGCATGTGGTTTCAACTGTATCCTTTAAGTGTCCATTTCATCGCTTCGCTCTTTCTTTTATAAGTGTGAGGGTTGAAATTTGAGGCAGATATTTATATTGTATTCAACCAGCTTCAATGACTCTGTTTGACAGCAAAAGAAAAAAATTCACGCATCTCCACAAATTCAATGATGACGAGTGGGCGAAGCCAGATCCTAAGATTCATAACGTCTTTGTTGAGTTCGCTGAGTGGTCCAAAAGGGTTTGTGCTAGTAGGTATCTTATAGTGTTCCGTCGCGTTTATGATTGATATTAGCCTACTATTAAACCTTTTTTTTTATTTTGTGTCTCACATATATCCAACTACCATACCGTATATTCCCTGCGCGCTGCCCCATATAATGTAGCCATGACACTGGACAAGCCTCGGCTGTAGGGTGCCTCGCCCCTAAAATGTGAGCCACTAGAGCTTTAGAACACAGAATCTGTAGGAACCGCTGCGATGACATGTAGTTTCAAAGTATGCACCTAAATCTATGCCCCAACAAACTAAATGGGCCACTGATCTTCCCTTTCTTATACTAGTGCAAGTTTGTGAAGAATACCAAATGAGGTGAAGACAAATGGTGACTGACAATAACTGTACATTGGCACATAAGTTAAAGACATTCATCCAAAAAGCCTTCATAACCATTCAAACACCCTCCCAGTAGTTTACACGTAAGAGCTTCTTTCGCTGCAATTACATGTACATGTAATTACTGTACATGTTACTCACCGGATCTTTTCCCACAAACTGGAGGTGCGCAGAAGCGACTCCAAGGCTGAGTAAGAAGGAAGCGAAATCCGAGCCTGATGCAGGAGGCATTATGCTGAGAGAGGCAAACAGAGCACTCATTGTAGAAAAATAAATTAGAGACAAATGCATTAAATGTTTAAAATCTTTCAAGAAGAAAATTACCAAGCCTATACAAGCTTTAAAAAAGTATTTACTTCATACCTGTAACTAGCAATTAGTGGTTTAGGCTTTCTAATAAATGCCGAAAACTGCCTAATGGTGACACTTTTCGGGACTGCAGCATGAGTTAGCACGACACAGAAAACAAGATATGACTGACATCTAGCGGAGTAAAGAGTGTGCATCATTGCCAGCCGTCATTATGCAGCACCTCGCATGCAGCGGGCTTGATTTTCAAGTCGCACGGAGAATGATCCAAATCCTGGACAGGTTGGATGCCACCACCATCACTCCATTATCCCCCCTGCCTTCTACTGTGGTGGTCTAGGTTTTTTTTTTTCCTAACAGGTTAGTAAACCCGTTTTTGTTGGTTCAAATCTGAGATGGCACTTGAGAACAAATGACAGAGAAGATCCGGTTCGAATGAACGTGCAGAGCACTCACAGTGGTGGCGCGTGCGAATTGTTGGGCACGCGAGGCTTGCGCATCCGCCACATGTCATAGACACTCATCTCCGTGTGCGCGCCTTCGTGGCAGGGCACCAGTTCTGCAGCTTCCTTCAATGCCTGACGCAGCAAAGGACTGGCCAGGGCATACAGAGAGCTGTTTCCTGCATATGTCAAGAAAAACAGGAACAAAAAGATGTAAATATAGCTGAAAGAATGCCTGGACGAGTCGGTTCATAGCTAAGAATCAAGATTAAGGTTTGCAAAAGGACAGAAAGCAGTTTTAAAAAGATGTGCTAGGCTTGCAGCTGATTCACCTCTCATGTTGTATTGACAAAACTAGAGGCAAATGTTAAAGGGCACAAGACAATGAATTGGCTACAGAGAATTTCGGCCTTGGTAAAAATTGTACGATTATGGGCAAAATGAAGTATGAACAATAACTTGACTTAGTGAAATGCTCAAACAATTCACACTCGCGCACTAAGCCTGTGCGAATATTCGAATGCTTTCAATAATCGAACGAATAGTAGAGTATTCGAATTTGCTTTGATTCGAGTTTAAATTATTGAATATTTCGAAGTATTCGCAATTCATGAATAAATGTATATTAATCTGCATGTAACTGCCTGTAAAAGTGGTTTCACTGCAGTGTAGAAATACTAAGCCATAAAAACGTCTACCCAGGAGAAATTTTTTCTACCGCCAAGCCCTTTTCAAGTTCAAAGGGGCCCTGCAACACACTTCGAGCATGTTCAGAAAATGCTGCCGATTGGTAATCGAGGCTACCGAGAACAGGCGAGGCAGATATAATAGCGCAGCACACTGCCTGCAATTCACAATAACTTCTCAAAGTCAGCTTAAAATTGTTCAATTATCTCGGCAAATGACACTACAAGCTCAAAAATCACTTGTCACAGCCATTGGCTGACTTGAGCATGGCGCACTTGGTCGTTACTGGGGCGGGAGACAGCCGCGGGAGACTGCCGCCTGTCCAAGCGTACGCGGCAATTGCACTGAAAGGCCGCGTATTCGAAGAAAAAAACTAGAATAAAGAGAAAAAGTGCCAAAGGTCACGAGGCTCGCACGACGTTTTTCCTTTCCCTGTGCGGTCCCTCCCTGCTTAGATTCCAGCTTTTTCGTTGAGACAATAATAAATTGCAGTATGTGACAAATATTTGGAACTCCGCTTATACTAGACTGATGCTAAAAATTCTGCGGTGGTGAATTCGTGTGGCAATAAGCTTTATGGCTTCATGGCTACTTGAAAAAGTGTTGAAGGGCCCTTTGAATAAACATGTTATCCTCAAATCAATTCATCATTTTATAATGCTTAAAAGCTTGTTATGACCGCCCACATGCTCTAAGTATAATAAATTTTAAAATATTACATACTTTACAGGTTATCACCAGCATCCCACCGAAACTTAAATCCCGCTACTACTCAAGGTTGTTACAACTTCCTTTGAACAAAAAAAAAATGACATTCGCATAGAGACCCTATTTGAATTAAAAATATATTTATATTGTGCAGGTTAGTTAGGTCATAATAAATATTGCCATATTTTTTAACATCTGATACATACCATTTGAATTCAACTTGAAATTATTCGAACAAAATCACTATTCCCTTCAAAATCGCTTCGAACCTCAAAAGAAACTATTTGCACAAGCCTACCGTGCACACAATGTGATACTATTTGAACAATCCTTGGTAACTGTAGACAAAATACCAATGCAAAGTTGTCCTCTCAGGTTATCACTAGCAGAGGCTGTTCCACTTCATCATTTCTTGTTTGTGTTTCATTTGTCCACAAATGAACATTAGCATTACAAGCAAACATGGCTAAAAACATACGCACAACATATTCCAGTACATTTCAAGTCATGTCAATGTCGCATTGTTTTTAAAGGATACCGTAGTTTCTCAAGTACTAGCTGCGCCTGTTATGCAACTGGAGACTATCAAACGAAACCTTTAGAATACAAGCGAACTACCATGCTTCCGTGCCTGACAAAGTACAGTTGAGCCATTTTGTAAGAGGCATGCACAGGGGAGCAACTCTTCTTTTATATGAGGAGCCTCTTTTCATCCGGGCACCACTTTTGCATTTTCTTATTGAACCCTACTTCAATGTACACACACCTATACCCAATTGTCAGTTATATCAGTGTCCATTATAAAGGGGTTCGACTATCACTGCTCTTAGATAGGAGCCGCAAATAATGCGATCACTTTTTTAGCAGTGAGTTTCTGTCTTGTTTATCTATTTACTTGTGTTGGTAAGCACATTTACTGATATGAATAAACATAATACCATTTTCCACACAAAAAAAAATGTAGTTTGCAAACTTACAGCCCCATTCTTTCTCTTTCTTTGTGCGAAAATGCGCTTGTCATTTTTAAATTGTATTTGAAACACAAAAAATAATTCTGAACAAATTGCAGCATCAAGTCCAAATCAGTGGCATCCTATTTGCGAATTCACATATTTGTGCCATGTGAAATATGCTTTTGAGGGTGCGAAGACTGAACTGATGCAGCTACAAGATCAAAAGTCCTCACCAGAGACTGCCTGATCCAGGTTGATGTATGCCACTGTGCGATGATAGAGCTCCTGCTCGTGTGCCTACGAATAATGTGGTTGCAAGAAATGGTTTTTCTGCACAGAGTGTGCACAACGCTCACATAAATGGGCAATGGAGAACGGTAACGATAGGAACGGGGAAAATACCTGCACCCATTCGTTGGAGCCCACCATGCCAAACTCTTCGGCGTCCCAACTGGCAAACACAAGCGTTCGCCCAGGAGTCCAACCTGCAGAAAAACAAAACGGTATCAACCACACGCATCAAAATAATCAGTCAATCTTTTGGTGACAATGCTGCGAGAAATGCCAGGCGATGAGAAGCAACGAAATTGCTGCTTTAGCAACTGCATGTGTACTAAATATGTAGGTGTCAACCAGAACATAAGAGCATGGAGGAATAAAGACCCAGAAGTTTTGACACGCAGCCTTAGAAACATTTTTTTTAAACAAGAGCACAGTGATATGAACATTGCAACAAAGATCTGTAAAACTGAACCTCCCTCACTGTTGTTCTCCAATTCTTCCTTTAATGTAGCATAAAACCAAGGCTTTATCACAAGCTGAAATAGAGAGTGATGAAGAACTTCTAAGATCAAATCTGTCTACCCAGTGAACCATAAAAGAAACAGCTGTGAATAGAAAGAATTAAAACCATGTACGAGTAGTGCTGACGTCACAGAAGTTACAACCCCCCTCTGCGTTAGCAACCTCTAAAAGCCAATGAGCAGCTGTAAATGAGCAGCTGTAAAGCCATTTAGAAAGTAGGCACTGACCATTCTTTCTAAGGCTTCCAAACAGTCGGACAAGTTCCATTAGGGCAGCCATCCCTGTGCCCGGATCGCCTGCACCTTTGGTCCACGAATCGTGGTGGCAGCCCACGATAATGTATCTGCCTGCATGGTTGCAGATATATGCAGAACAATGTGTCGACAGAATCAAATTAGAGATGCATGCAATGCCTGGGCTACTACAGGCACTTTGCATGAAGCTTTTATAGATATTCCAAGTGGTGTAAATAAAGGAAAATGCCAGTTTCATTAACTCAGATTCCACATTTCAGAGATATCAGCTTTCCCAAGTGGCTCACTGGCAGGTGGACACAATTGCATTCGATGGGCATAACAATTTATGGACACATTACAGAGTGCCCCAGCTGCTAGCGTGAACCGTGGTGGTTGCTACACCTCCAAGTACAACTGTAGAGATGCCACAAGCTACAACATTGGTCTCAACTTCATCATCATTATCATCATTGGGGTCATCATAACCATCATTTCCAGCCTATTTCAAGTCCACTGCAGAATGAAGGCCTCTCCCAAGGATCTCCAGTTTGCCCAACCTAGTGTGCACTCATTGCATTTATACCCTGCAGCCTTCTTAATTTCAGCACTTCATTCTCTTCATTCCTCTACATCCACTTCATTCTCTTAATGTCAACCAGAACATAAGAGTATGAGGAAAAAAAAAAAGATGCTGTAGTTTTTAACATGCAGCCTTAGAAGCATTTATTTGAACAAGAGTAAAGTACAAGCAACAAAAAACGAAATCCAATGCTGAAAGAAGAAAACAGACTGGGACAGATAAAACTAAGCGTAAACTACATGAGAACTCTCCAACCGAGCAACAGCGCACTGTGGTGAAAGTGAGAAAAACCAACCTGGCTCGAAATTTCCCATCATGACACCAATGACATTCTGGATGTTGGAGCGCTGCAAGATGTTGTGCACCGCCACCTCCACCTGACTGCATGTTCACGAAAGAAAGACGTAAATTGCTGGAAGGTACTCGGAAGCTCAAGAGTACAAAGCAACATCTTCTACCCCAATGGCATGTGCAATCGTACATGTCAACTACAGAGACGTGCCATGCGTTGTGTGTTGCTTAAATCGGCTTGGAATGCGACGTTCACATACATGCACTTATCCTGGATGGACAGCTAGCCCTCATTTAACTATATTGTGCCATGATTCAATGCATTGCTTCAGAAGATCAATTTGCTGAAGGTATTACTTTGACGGACCATTCCGTTCTGTTCCAAAACAAAGCGAGACCCATAATTTTTGTTTGCTTGCAATGCATACAGATAATCAATCAATCAATCAATCAATCAATCAATCAAACTTTATTTCAGGAATGCATACATTACGTGAGTAAAATTTTACAGTACAGAGGAGGTCCCGAAGTTAGAAAACTGTCGGGGGGACCTCCGTTAGAGAATAAGTAAATTGCGATAACAATGCAGCAAGCAGTGAAAAACACTTTGTACGAATTAAACAAAGAATGGTTAAAATTTTGTAATAACAAGGCAAGAAAAGTTCTGTGCAACAGCAAGTGGTATAGTTAGTAAAAGAAATACTAAAATTAGGAGTAAGGCACGACGGCAGAGTTTAGAAAACACGTTTTGTGATTAGGTACTCTTTAAACATTTTGCGAAACGAATAGAATGTGGGACATAACTTTATTTTAAGTGGTATGTTGTTCCATACGGATACACCTGTAAATTTAAGAGTTAGTTTTCCATAATTGCTACGCACTTTAGGGAGAACGAAATTGTGACAGGCTGAAAACCTGGTGTTATTAGTATTGACAAGATGTTGTGTGGATAGCCCTGAAACACATAGACCATGATAAATGAGGCGGTACATCAATATAGCTAACTTTAGAGTGAACAAAAGATTAATTGGAAGCACGGAAAAATAAATAAAGAGTGGCGTAGAAGGCGATTGAAATGGAGCGAAGGCGATCAGACGTAGTGCCCGTTTCTGAAGATGTAGAAGGGGCTCCAGGTGACTGGCATATGTATTACCCCAGGATGAAATGCAATAGGAAAGATGGCTATGAATATATGCATAGTATAATGATAAAATAATGCGTGACTGAAAATAAGGGCGGGCTTTAATGAGAACATGAATGCCAAAAGAAGCTTTTTTTAATATTGAGAGTACATGATAGTTATATTTCAAATGCTTGTCTAGTATTACGCCTAAGAACTTCACATGATCCGATACGGAAATAATATGGTTGTTAAGAGATACGGAAACTGGTGAGAGAAATGTGTTCTGTGCGAATGAAAACACCACAAATGTAGTTTTAGAGGGATTCATATAAAGATGATTGTTATCACACCATTGATAAATATTACAGAGATCGGAGTTTAAGCTACTTTCAAGTTCAGCAGTTGTTTTCTGGGATGTAAAAATAGTAGTGTCATCGGCGTAAAGAAGACAGTTAGTATGATTAAGGGAACTAGGTAGGTCGTTAATAAAAAGTAGGAATAGAAGAGGGCCTAAGATTGAACCTTGAGGGACGCCCATGGTAACTGGCTTAGCAGATGACGCAATGTTATTGACATAAACTACCTGTGAGCGATTTGTTAAGTAATTGCGAATGAACTGCAAAGCGGGACCCACAATTCCGAAAGATTCAAGTTTACACAGAAGGATCCGGTGGTTAATCGTGTCGAAAGCCTTCGTGAGATCAATAAAAACTGCCCCAGTAAGTAATCCATTGTCTATGGCTTGTTTAATTCGGTCAGTAAAGCTGAGCAAGGCGAGCTCTGTCGAGTAGTCAGGTCGAAAACCGAATTGGTGGGGAGAGAGTAGGTTAAATTTAAGCAGATAGCACATCAAACGCAAGTAAAAAAGCTTTTCAATTACTTTGCTAAAGAAAGGAAGTACACAAATCGGACGGTAATTATTAGTTGACAAACGATCGCCCTTTTTGAAAACAGGTGTTATCTTTCCTACCTTTAAAGCATCAGGAAATGCACCTGCTTTGAACAATTTGTTAATTATTTCAGCTAAAATAGGAGACAGTTCACGTGCCACGAGCTTTATCTTAGACGGGTGAATGGAATCTAAGCCTGGCCCTTTGGTTTTAAGAGATGACATGATTTGAAAGACTTCGTCTGCAGATGTAGGACGTAAATAAAAAGACTGAGGTGAACGAGATAGAATGGGAAAATGAAGGTCAACTAGTGAATCGGGGGAATTTGATGCAAAAGTATCACTGAAAGCATTAGCGATATCGAGTGGCTCGGTAAGGGAACGTCCGTCAACCGTTATTTTTGATAAGCATGTAGTCTCGCTGCTGTTCAAGAATTTTTTTATTAGCTGCCAGCTTTTCCTGGTATCATTACCGTTCTTATCTATTTGTTTTTCATAATACTCGCGTTTGGCCCTCTTGAGCAGCATTGAAAGTAGATTTGAATATCTTTTTAAGCGCGTTTTTAGAGAGCTGTTTGAAGGCTGAGATTTTAATTTTCTTCGCATGTTTTCCTTTTTAGATATGGAATGCAAGAGACCAGGTGTTATCCATGGGTTTCTAGGCGTGCGAAACCAATGTATGACGGTACTTGTGGTTGTGCATTGTGCAATGAATGCGCTTATTTTTGCCGAAAATTCATTAAACGCTTCCTCGCCACATTCTTCTTGTGCTACAAAGTCCCAGTTAGCATTACGCACTATCTCAACAAATTCCGCTGAGTTGAATACTGTCTTAGTATTATGCTTATTTTTTATGGGAATACAGGCATCAAGACAGAAAAATACAGGATAGTGGTCGGTGAATAAATAGTCAATAACCCCGGACTTCGAATCAGCAAAGATATTTGACAGTACATGGTCAATTAATGTGTTAGACCCATTCATATCACATCTAGTCGGGGAGTGAATCAGAGATTGTAGGCCAAAACTAAGAAAACAGCGAACATATTCCAAGCAAACTGGAGTGTTAGTATCAAGGATATTTATGTTTACGTCACCGCAAATAATAATGTTTTTGTTTTCCAGGGTTAGAGTAGCAAGGATTCTTTCAAGCTGCACGCAAAACTCGGAATTCGAGTTTTGCGTGCAGCTTGAAAGGTTGTATGTATCAAACCTGAGATAATCAAAGGTTGTATGTATCAAACCTGAGATTTGATTACTTTTAGAATGAACTAGAACATGACCGACTTCATAATATACAGATATATAGTTCAACTTTAATTAAATCAGTGAGAAGTACGCAAATTGACATAGCATCGTAACTTTTCACGAATAATTAGTGCCTAGATCGACGTACTAGTGCTACATTTCCTTGCATAAAGCTGCCCCTGTATATAATTTTCACCCCTAACTATAACTCTATGAAAACAAAAAAAAACATATAACTGCTGCATATAATCACACTCCCACTTTATAGCACACTTATCCATTGATTGTTGCTGGTTATGTGCGAGAAAGTACGGTGCTACCTTCTATTTCTTACACAAGAATATAGACTGCCTTTGGATAAATTCGTATTACACAGTGAGACAGTAACTTGTAATTTGTACCTAAAAGGTTAATGCTGATGATCTTAAGAAATACCACCTTTGCATTTTACTTCACTTTTCAAAATGCGTTCATTCAGGAGAAACCGGCTCAGGCAGTGCAAAACTTTCTAGTGCCATCCGCCAAATAAGACTCACACGTCATCTCCAGTGCTGTAGCCAGGGCCCAAGTTGTACGTGATGTTCAACCTTCCCTGCCATTCCACCGGAGCCATGCTGCCAGACATGTTGCTGCAAGACACACAGGGCAAGGCAAGATCAGATGCACTCAAAAAAGTAAGGGCCACAGTTCCATCGTACGGTCAAAGCAATGAATGTAATAGAAACAAATCGGAATGCTATACGAGGAAAGGCTAGCACTTTCACCTTTAGCAAATGTGACCCTTGTACTGTCACGGCTTCAATGCTGATTTTGCAATGAGAACATGACGTTCACAAAGCTACGAGTCATCTGTTGATATCCTCCGGAGATAAGCATAGGATTCCAGGTGACCACGCCATGTAAGTGAAAGATTTCCTCCGGTAGGCATGCAGACGCTCTCCGACTTCAATCTCAAAGCAGCATGATGAATGACGGGCGAAGCGACAAACTTTTAAAGTTCCTTGGGTACCTTGCACCATCTCTGGCATCAAGTAAACAAGCCTCTGTGATGTTAAAGTAGCGGAGAGATGTGCATACAACCAACTGTAAAGGATGTCTATAAATAGCTCACCACTAGCATGAAAGAATGTCTATGCGCATTTGGCCATGTGAGCTTGCTTACACAGCACCACTGATTGAATGGCCACTGGTTTGAATGCCCGGCCACACGCTTCGACAAAATTTTCTTCACTACTATTTTTCTATAGGCCTGTGTATATAGAAAACAACAGTGATGGCAAGAGGCAACAACCTGAAAACGAGTGTCCAAATAATTGATATCGCAATAAAATAAAAAGCAGCAACACATTCGGCTAGAGTACCAAAAAGCTTCGGTTACTTGAGCAACTGGCGGGCATCGTTATAGCTGACCGGCTGTACAGGAATTGAGGGAAGATCTAGAGACTTGCGGTCGCTCCTTGGTGGCATGTAGACATCGTCTGGGGAATGAAAAATGAAGCGTGTAAGAAAGTAAAATGCAGGAGAGTTTACGGACACACTAAACTATAAACGTCCACTTGTCAAAAGTTGGCTAATGGCTTACCTAACAAAGCTTAATAAGGAAGCTGATTATAGCTATGACACAACACTGCTATGAGAGGGTAAATTGCACTGTGGTGAAACTTAGTTTATGTTCTATTTATACCTTCAGCTATCATATAGATGTCTGTGTGCTTATTTCTCAAATACCTAAGTAAAATTATTTTCTGTATCGTGAGCCTTTCTCAAACTTGCAGACTTCCATATTCAGTGAGACTGCTCTTCAAATTTTTTTTACTATCTTATCTTCCTCTACAATACGCTAGCCACCTGTAAAACTCGCATGGTTGAGCCACTTGCCTCATAAAGGCATTGGCCATGGATTCAAACTATGGACCACAAAAGATGTCTGTTTTTTAACTGCACAGTTTTCTTTCTTTTGGCATATCACGTACAGATATACTTTGTCATTACCACTACTGTGAAAGCTTTATTCTTCTTCATCGCAACACTAACCTGTGGCTGGAGGTAAGGTGTTCCGGGGTCACCAGGGTAGCTCTTGAGGTTTCCGCGCTCCACGCCATCCCCTTGCAGTTTCATTCCTCTAGATGGATTTGACCGGTCAGTGGGGCTGTCAAAGGGGTCACTGTAGAGCAGGACACCTGCCACACCATTCTCTTCGGCTAGTTTCACCTGGGTGAAATACAATGGCCAGGTATACAGGGTTACTCACTTAGTCATTACATACACTGCCACAAGACATGGCACGGGTAGAGGAAACATGGATCACGTTAAGTTGAAATAAAAACAGCACATAAGACAGAGGACCAGTAAGGGTAGGTCACAGCTGATAAACTAAAACCATCAGGCTTCAGAAATCGTCAGGCAAGGCAGCTCATGCATCAGCAGGCCTTTGATCGCTTTATCGGAGAGAAAAATTGATCTTACTGAAATTAAAAAAAAAAGCCTACCATTGAGGGAAAAAACTGAGGACAGAACAGAGAGGGCATCCTGCCCCCAACTTTCTTCCTCGATAGTAGGTGTCTTCTTTTTCATTAAGCACATACCAACTAGCCCAACAAAACAGTTTTATTATGAAAGTGATCTTCTTCAGTATTTTCGTATGCGTGACGTTTATGGTGCTTAGTGAGGATGATGAATAACTTTAATCATTACACTGACATTATCATTTTTTATTGTTCCTTCTGTTTTAGTGAGAACAGAACAGAAAATTTTTTTAACGGAAAGTTATGTGGACGATATCGTTTGAGAGCCAGTTTCACTCTACATTGTTCATACAAGGAACGAACTAGCACCAAAGTGTGTTTTGTATTCGTGTCTTAGTATTTTTAATGAATTATATCATAGTTATATTTTTTCTGCAAAAAAAATTGTTTGATCCCCAAGTAACCCAGAATGTACTCATGTCTGTTAAATGCGGTCACGCTACACCCCCCCCCCCCCCCCCCCCCCCCCATGTCCAGGAACTTACCTTGTAGCCACGGTGTATCTTTCCGTATCTTATGATGGCTATGGTGTTGTTGAGGACAATGTTCTTGCTTCTGAGGAGGGCAAAGTCGGCTTCAGTTCCGTAATGGGCGTACACAGGCTTGCCCTGAGTACGAATGGAGCACGGTGCATGCATTGGTCACGCCATCAAGTTGTAACTGCTTTGCCCTTTGTCTCTGTCATAGAAATCAGTATTCAGAAACCGTGGTCATGGAAGGTCACCAAGCAATTTTTTTATAAAAAAAAAACTAATGACTCACATCGGCAGTGCCGGGGAAGGGGAGGGGTTCAACATTCGCCTCCCTTCTTCCCCCAAAATTTCAGAGTCCTCATATTTTTACAAAGCACGAATGCAAACTAGATGAGTTTGGCACTCACTTTCTGCAAACTATCTTGTGTTCAACTTCTATTTGCCTAATCACATATACGGGTCCTATTGTTTCCTAGGCTTTCTTGACATTGTTCTTATTTTTTATACGATTGTTCCTAAACCTTGCTTCACAATTTTATTCTGAACGAGGCTCCCGTAAGGGAGTCACAAGACGTTAAATGTACTACGCTTCTTGGTCAATACTTGTACATACTTCCCACTTTTGTTAAATAAGTCGCACCAAAGTAAGCACAGCTTACCCTAACGATTCCTGAAGGCGAATAAGCCGAAAATGGCTTCACCGCCATGGCTGCTTCAGGCCCAGTCTCGGAGGTGTTGAATAGTATGTTGTTACCCCGCATTATTCGCACCTCATTCGGATGTTCCCTGAATGCAGGAACGAAAAGAATAAAAAAAATATCACGCAACATGAAACATCTGCAGCGGATAACATGTCATCAGTACGAGCTACACACCACGGCAGGTAAGCAAGTAAGTTCACAGAATGTAGGCTTAGGCATGTCGCTAATCCGTCCTACTATTCCAATGCACTTGACACAGCGCAGTGTCCATGTCATTTTTCTGTTCTCTGTATTGTTTAACAAGTGTGCAAAAAATAGTAAAGTAGCAGGTAAAGTGTCATAGCGGTTCTCCGTAGCAAACCCCCTACCAATTAAGTCAATGTATGGGGCAGATTGTATGCCCCCCCAACCCCAACCCCAACCCACCAGGTGACTAGAAGGCAGGGGCACCCCCCCTCCCCCCAACTGCACACGTCCCGTGTGTACGCCTATGAAAGGAGGCACACTGCATTTTATTTCTTGAACATGTGTTGCTGTATTGATAAATAAAGATCAAACACTGAAATTGAAGGAGCTTGTGATACTGCAATACTAGATTACAGTAGATGCATTAACGCTACTGTTATGCTTTCAACAAGGGGTAATTAGCTTTATCCTCAAGTGTGTAACTGCGCATGTTAGGCAGACGTAGCAAACAGAAAAATTATAAAGGCCACCCACTTTTCGCCAATGTTGAATTTGCCTTTTTTTTTTGTCCTGCTCTCTGTCAGACATTGCCACTGAGCACACTCAAAAGCTGTTCAGTACAACTTTCACTTTCTCTGCAATCTGTTTACAGTTTGCAACTTCAAAACATGATCTCATTGACGCATGGTGTCAACAGCCATAGAAAGTGGTCAGAGCAGATTCACTGTCATCTTATATGCAATGTATAAGGTAATAAAGAACGAGTTTTCATCATACGAGAATGTTGTGACTAGACTTCTTGGAACCTGCCCAATCATGTGCTGTGTAAACCACTTCGAAAGACACTTTCAAAGCCGACAGCTGCTACAGATTACTGTACTGGTGCTTTAAGTGCACAATCAGTCACAAACATGGTATGGCTGTCGTGGTATGGTCAATTTTACGCTTAATGTCTGCTCTTCCCCGCTTTTGCAGTTTTCATACTTTGTGCTGGTGGGGGGCGAGATACCTTGGACGCTTTCCTGTTTTAGCCACCTTACACATCAAGTGAAAACAGTACCGCTCAGATGAATTTTGGTTTTGGTGTAATGCTTTGATTACTTAAAAATATTGCCAGTTTGCCAAGCATTTCCAATATTATTAAGCTCATGACAGGAGCATCTCGGAAACATACAAACATCATTACTTTGACATCATGAGAAAGTCACCGGACATGACCTTCCAGTGCAGTTGTCTTGCGCTGTTAAGACTGCTGTTCTGTATCAGCAGCAACTAAACAAGCAGGGCTACAGCAGACAGATGTAAACGGCTGCACGAACACATTCAGTGCTTGATGACCACGTTGATTGGACATCATAATATTGGAAGCCTAGAAATCATTCCTGCAAAAGCATTAGGATGGCAGCACCCAGGAATTTGATTGAAGATTGTCGCATCGTTTGCGACTCGTATACTACCACACTTGCTCTTCTCGGAAAAGCTCACTTGTCTGGGAAGGAGAGCAGAGGCTTGAAGACCTCGGTGCGTGTGTTGTCCACCCCGTATCCCTTCCAGGCCTGTTCAATCCGCATGGCCAGCTGCTGTCCCCTCTCAGTCCCGGCCATGTGGTAGTGCACACTCATCACCCTGAAGGAGCAAGCACACACACGAAATGGGATGGCAGCAGGGGTGTGTGAATATTTGAGTACTATTAAAAAGCGTCCAAACGGAGACCTTTTGTAAATACAAATAGCTTTCAAATGTCTTAAGAGAGGTACTACTAGGTTGGTGGTAAAATATAGATTGGTGGAAAGGCATGATAGCTATTACATCTGCATTGCCCAAAAAAACACCCAGAATTTAATGCGCAAAAAAAAAGAAAAAATAAAGGAAACAGGGAGAAAGAGAGAGAGAGGAATGGTCAACCAATGAGAATGATGTATGCACTGGAGGTGGTTAGAGCACTGACCGTAGCCAGCTGTCGAGATTTTTCTTGTCGACGCCAGTGAGTAGCTGCTCTGCGAAGCGTTCCTTGAAGGAGTAGATGCCCCTGGGCATGGGGCAAGACGACTGTGGCGGCTGACCCAAATCACGCATGCTCTTGCGCGCCACATAGCCGCACATGAGCCCCACCAGGAAGATGACTCCCACTATCAGCACCTGCAGTGAAGAAGAAACTTCTGCTGACACTGTCACAGAGAAGAAGGGCGAGGTTGCAATAACGAAGATGAGGGGATGCACGAGCTCTTCGGCCGTGGCCCGCTCTAGCCGTTGAAGCTTGCTCTCGTGGTGTGGCCAAGAATTAAGTAGCTGTTGTTGGTTAGTTGATCTACCATCGTTTCTTATACTGCAATAGTTGTTTGATCAGTGTTCTTTGTGCAGTTCAGACAAGACAAGATGTCCTTATCTTCGCCAGGGCCAGGGACTTTTCTTTGGTCTGCTTCTACGGATCCAAAGGAGGTGCCAGTGGATCTTTTTTTGCGCAACGGAATATCATCGGTTCCAGTGGCTCTAGTCCCGAACAATGACGGCATCATTCGGATGAAAAACCCGAAGATCATTCAGGCGGAATTACGGTCAGTGACGGCTCAATACCAGTCCATAACGGAGGTCCGCCAGTTCGGCAGAGGAGGCATACTGTGCTTTTCGCCAGACCAGTCCTGTGTCCTAGATCTGCTAAAGTGCTCAACGTTTGCATCCCAGCCGGTGAGCGCGTTCATACCTTCTCATTTAGCATGTACCCGAGGTCTAGTGCGAGGCTTCGATGCCAACATGCCACCCTCTGAAGTACTAGAGCTGTTTTCGCCAGCAGGTGCTATTTCAGTCTATCGGTGTGGACGGGTGGTTGATAACAACAAAATACCAACTGAGTCTGTAATTGTGACCTTTGCGGGATCAGTCCGACCATCAGAAATTAAGGCTTGGCCTTCAATTTACAAAGTAGTGCCACTCTCTCCTCGTCCGCTCCAATGCATAAAGTGCTGGCGATATGGTCACACAATGAAAGGTTGTAGGTCAGCGGTCAGGTGTAAGGTATGTGGGGAAGGTCACAATTCTATCGACTGTCTGAGTGATGAACAAAAGTGTTTCCTATGTAGCGAAGCTCATGCGGCCGATAGCTCTAGTTGTTCGGCAAAGGTACGTGAACTCCAAATTCTAGAGATAGTAGAACGAAGACGGTGTTCACGCAAGAAAGCAGCACTTGAAATACAAGCACGAACACAAGGCTACGCCGGTGTTACAGCTCGTAATATGCCAACAATGGAAGCTCTCTCTGTCCCTATTGCGGAAGCGATTGAGAAGGCAGTGGAGAAGGCAATGGAGCGCATCGCTGGGAATATTTGTGAGTCCTTGGCCCAAATTCTATCGAACCAGATGGCTCAAATGTTGGGTACAGCGGAAAACAACCTCAGTGCACCACGTAACATTAGTGACTCCTCGGAGTTTGCAAAGGAGTATGACTCTGCTACGCCACAGCAGGCTATGGAAGCCCTTCACATTCGTGACTCCCCTGAAATTTCAAAGAAGTACGGCTCCGATACGCCACAGCAACCTACGGTAGCTACAGATCCAGTAGAGGAAGGTAGCGCATCTCAATGCGAGCTTCCCAGGAAAGTGGAGGACTCAGACGAAATGGAGATGGATCCCCGATCGCTAAAGCGCTCGAGATTCCCTTTATACAAAAAAGGCATCGCACCTGTCAATTCAAAATCCAAAAAGTACCAGAAGAACACCCTGTCTAAAGCTGATTTTCTTAAAGAAAATATTCTAAACAAGGCCATCGCTGATGTTATTTTAGAGCAAAAATAGGGTCACTTAAAATTCTTCATTGGAATTGCCGATCAATTCACTCTGCAGCAACTGATCTAATATATTTGGCATCGAAATTTTCTCCAGATATTATTGCACTGCAAGAAACTTGGCTTTCAATGCATCAGTCTTTTCAATTAAATAGATTCAGATCTTTCCGTCTATACCGTCCATCGAAAGGTGGAGGTTTGGCATTTTTTATTAATAATAGAATAAGTCTCAAAGCAAAAATTGCGTATAAGCTCATGTCACCTGACAGTGAAATTCTCGCCTTAGAAATAACCTTACCAGGCTGCATGCCTTTTTTGGTAGTGAATGCATACTTTCCTAAAGGTGTAATAGATACTCGATGTTTAGACGCTGCAGTGACTTCTAGTTATCAAAATAAAATTCTAATCGGCGATTTCAATTCTCATCATACGTGCTGGGGTTTCCGAACTGATCAATGCGGTAAGAGATTGTGGGAGTGGACAGCGGATAATAACTTGTGTTGCCTGAATTCAAGAACACCCACTTACATTAGTGATAGGTCTCGTTCAGCCTTAGATTTAAGCTTTGTGAGTTCATCACTCACTAGTTTGTCGTGGAGTGCGTGTGATTGTGCAACTAACAGCGATCATTTGCCAATATTATTCGAGATTGCTTGCCAAGTTATAATGTCAGGCTCTCAGACTCGAATGTTTATTAACTACACCAAATTTAGGAAAGATTTAGAATCTGCTTTGGCAACCCATTCTGAAGAGCAAGAAGATACAAAAGCCATGAGACTGAGTGCACTGATTAAGAATTCGCTGTGCAATCCGTAAAGAGCACAACCCACAGTCCGTGGTGGAACTCGGACTATGTCCGGGATTTCCGACGAAGAAAGGCAGCTTGGAAAAAACTTATGTATAACCAGTGCCCTCAAAACTGGTCTGATTACAAGTATCACGCTGCAATTTTCAAACGCACAGTCTCTTTAGCTAAGGAACAATATGATAGAAAACATTATGATCACCTTTCAAAAGCTTGTAACAAAAAGGCGCTGTTCAGGTTCATGAGATCACGTAAAATGATGCCATCTCAAAATAATATAGGGTTTGAGATTATGTCCTTGGAAGAAACAAAGAAATCCTTAGAAACCATGGCTAAAGGCCTGGAGTGTAGATTTACATCAATTAAGCCTTACGATCCACAAAAACCAGCGTCAACGATTGAAGTTACTGAAGTTACAGAGGAAGAGTTAGCACAAGTGATACAAGGTTTGCCCTCGTCAGCTCCTGGTCCGGATGGAATCACAACTGCTATGATAAAAATATTATTCAAATTATCACCATGTGACCTACTAAACACTGTAAATTATTCGTTAAAATATGCCTGGATTCCGTATGAGTAGAAATTAGCTAAAATAGTGCCGATACAAAAAAGACAAGGTTTCGGATATGTCATAGAAAACATTCGACCCATTTCTCTTACATCTAACATGGTGAAGCTCATCGAAAGAGTGCTAAATAAAAGAATTCTAATATGGATGGAGGAAAATTCGATATTAAATACAAATCAAATTGGCTTCAGAACAGATTGTTCAATCTGGTGTGCACACGCAGATTTAGAAAGCCGCATTCAGCTTGCTTGCAAAAAAAGACAACATGCGGCACTAGTGACATTGGATATAGCTAAGGCATACGATAGTGTAGAACATTCAGTATTATTAGACATATTAGAGAGCCACAATCTCCCAAATTATATATTCGCGTGGGTGAGGGAATTTTTGAGAGGAAGAGAGTTTTATTGCTTTAAGGATGGTTGCGCATCGTCAAAGTGCAAACAAACACGTGGTGTCCCCCAAGGCGCTGTATTATCGCCAGTTCTATTTAACATCTTAATGAGCACTATACCGCATTGCCAGGACGTGAAGGTGTTTGTATATGCAGATGATATTGCATTTTTCACGGCACATAGTGACATATATTCCTTATATCAAATGCCACAGAGATATGTCAATATGCTGGAGAGATGGCTAGATGCAGTCTGCATGACCTTAAATGTAAATAAGAGTGCAGTATTGATATTCCCGTAATCCGATCCCATCTCAATTTCAATATGTTATAAACAAGAGCCCATTCCACAGGTGGAATCTCTTAAATATTTGGGAGTAACTTATAATGTCAACCTAAACTGGACTCCTCACATAGAAAGCATGGCATCTAAAGCACAACGCGCCTTAGGAATTCTTCGTAGACTGAGCAGCCGCCGATATGGTCTACGCAGAAGCACAATGGTGATGATCTATAAAATGTATATGCGACCAATCCTAGAATTCGGGTGCGTATTGTTCTCAGGTGGCCCTGCCTATAAAATAAAGCCTCTGGTTATGCTGGAACGAGAAGTTTTGAGATTGTGTCTAGGACTTCCAAGGTTTGTAAGAAACAATGTTTTGTATCAGGAAGCACGATTACCTACATTGCCTTGCCGTTTTCGTATCCTAACGGTTCAGACGTTTCTGAAATTTTATAGCTATGCGCCAAGACGATCTGAGTATAATTTTATAAATGACCCAGACAGCTTTTTTCTTGCCCATTGGCCACGCTTTCGAACACCGCAAATTGATTTTGTCCAGAAACAACTAGATAGGTTAAATGTAAAAATTCGAGATGTGACTGCTGCGCAGGATACAAATCAAATTCTTAAGATTGAATTCGATGAGATTTTTCCCTCTAAGCCCAAATTACAATCCTATAAGGTCTTAAACAGCCGACTGCAGGATTATCTTGCACACGCGGAAACGAATAATATTATAGCCACAGATGCTTCAGTATTTGATGAAAAGACAGGTGTAGGTATATACTCACATTTGCTTGACTGGTCTTTTTCATTAAGATTACCGGATTTCACCCCAGTTTGTGAAGCGGAGCTGTTGGCAATAGTTCTAGCGCTGCGAAAGCTACCTTTGAATGCCGCTAATGCAATCATAATAACGGATTCCCTGTTAGTATGTACGTCGATTACGGCGTCAACAAAATCGATGGCCTTAAAGACGCTCCTTATGCTAGTTCCTCCTCAGCTGCAACTACTGAAATTAGTATGGGTACTCGGTCATTGTGGCTTAGAAGTAAATGAAATCGCAGACTCTCTAGCATGAGCAGCATTGGAAGGGCCAGTACTATCAGTCCTTCCCGAAGTGGCCACTATAACGGCGACAAGATACAGAAAGCTTGCGCTCAGTGCAGACGCTATGGAAGCAATGTTGTCAACACCAGAATTTACTCACTTAAGATTTCCATGGAAAAGTCATTGGTGTCCTACAAAACAGTTGGAAACCATAATAACCAGATTTCGATGTCGTGTCCCCCCGTTAAATTTCTCTTCACATAGGGCTGGTCTGGCGATATCACCACTATGCAACTTTTGTTCAGAATTGGAAACTATAGAGCACTATTTTTTATCATGTCGCCGATACAAATTGCTCAGGAAAACATTCTTAGCCCTCCCATTCGCTAGCCTGGGGTTGAATTTCACTATAGAAAACATACTTTCCTTCGGTGCTTACGATCTGGGCTTCAGCCACGAGAACGCTTTCTACGCAGTTTGCAAGTACCTGAATGAAAGTAAAAGAATTAAGCTTTTAATTGCGTGATTATTAATCATGCAAAAAAAATAATTCCAACAAACACAAGAGCATTGTTTAACCATGCTGATTCTTATTCAAGGTAATAAATAATTGTCTTATCTGCACGAGTGACAAGCAACTATTGCACTCCTTTCATTCTGACTAGGGTGTCTTTTCTTTTTTCTTTCTTTTTTCTGGTGGGTGGTTTCAATATTCAAAAAAAAAAAAAAAACTTACTTAATTAAGTCATCGATTCTTGGCCAATCCCCCTGAGTGGGTACGAGCCATGTCTGTGGATTCATCATCATCATCATCATAACTGTCACAATGTTGTGGTGGCGAAAGATATGGCAACACAAAGCGCTTACAGTACAAACCGGGTGCGAACCTGTTTGAAGCAAAATCGGGAACACTGAGACTGAGTGGCAGGCACATTCTTTGGTCACTGAAACCTGATCTCTGAAAGAAATGTGATGGCTTCCAATATGTGCACCATTGTACATTCGATCTCATCACTGGTGCAAGTCCTAGAATAGCGGAACACTGGAAAGCTCCACACATGTTAAATGACTACTTGTGTATCAATCACTAGTCAGACAAAAAATTAAAATATGCACCTGCCATTGGGACCCACATAATGCGTACTTAATCAATGCATTAGAAGCATTACAAAATCGTGCCACCAGATCCATTCGCTCATCTTACTCGTACAACATCAGTATTTCATCTTTGAAAGCAAAATATGGACTACAGCCTCTTTTTTTATGTCATCGCACTGCAACTCTCACGCTTTATCACAAATCATTTCATCCTTCGCACAATCAACCACCTTGTATAACAGCTGCAACACGCATATCTCATCGAACCAGTCATTTATTTCAGGTTGCCAGCTCATCATCGCGCACCATTATATTTTTTCTGCATTTTTTTAAAAGTTTACAGACTGAAATGGCCTTCCTCGAGACATCATCACCGTCGCTGCATTATCTGCCTCCTAAGATCACATAATTGATCAACTTGAATACTAAAAATTACATTCACGGCATATGATTAACCTAAATGCAACCCCACCCCTTATGTAATGCACCTCCAAGAAAAGGGGGCCTTTAAGGTAATAAACTGAACTAAATTAAACTTAAGGATGAGACAAAAAGAGACACTAAACTTCCTGTGTTGTTCTGGAGCTGTGTTTCCCAGTCATCTGTTGGAATGAGCCAACCAGCCAAGCAAAAAATTTTTTTCACCTAAAGCTTTCAAATGGACACCACTGTTTGTGTCACAAATGTGATCTGAATAAAACTAGCAATAAAATTTCAAAAGCATCTTATACGTGAAAGCGTGCCTTGAACCAACTGACAGCCCTGTAGCATTTTTGAGACAGTAAAAAACGGTCACCAAGAACAACGAAAACAAGTATGCCTGTCAATACGCCTGAAACACTGATAGCAGGAAAAATATGCCGATGTGCTGTCATAGCATGTTCCCCTTTCATTGCATCATCCAATCATAAGTTCAATATCCATACAAACAATAGTAATACAATGACAAATCAATATATACATACGAGAATAGCAGAAAATTGCTCTGAGTGCATAACTTTCAGTGGAGAAATTGTACAGCACGTTCACAAGACTGCACTTATTAATTTTCTTCATTTACAGAAGAAGTGAAGATTTGAAAAGGGCACCGCATCACTAGGTAAGGCACTGATGGGTGCAGCCCAATGTTAATGACCTCAAACATGCCAGAGAAGAACAAATAAGTCTGCATGCAAACTTAAATACGTATACACTACTGTATAAAGTTGGGTGTGTTGGTAAGACATAATTAATGATGTAGCGTGTAAAATATGTGAGACACAGGACAAGGGAAGGAACAAAGGCCAATAAGCAGTGAATATGGTTTTGGTATTTTAGGTGATCAACAACACGGTTTTAAAAAGTAGATGAGACAATGGTGATGATGTATAGCTGACAATGCATCTGGCACTGTGCCAGGAATGCACTTAATATTAAGCCAAAGTGTCAAATGGGAAATCACTTGAAAGTCTGGCAAAAGTGGTTGAGTTCTCAAAAGCGATTTCACAAGGCTACTGGCCCGGAGCACAGTGTTAGCTTCTCACAAGTGCACAGAGTACTCACACGAAGAACTCTCCCCTTGGTTCCCGAAAACCAGCCGGGGCTGGTGGCCACTTGCACGTGCGGTGCCTCGGGTGACAGGTCCATGTCCACGTTGTCAGTGTCTGCGTCCCACTTTGTGTATGTCTTCTTGCCCCTGATGTAGTCGGCCATTTCGGCGACTCCCCCGTCCGCGTCGTCACCACTGCTTTCAACTGAATCCCTGCAGACAAACCACACAGGGAAGTTCGTGCAAGTGAGACCGCAGTTTAGTTCATGAATGTGCATGCTTGAAAGGACACTAAAAGAACAGGATGGATAAGTGTACTAGTAGGTGTTGCACGTCCACGGAAATATCACAAAGAAAAAAAATGCTGTATGAAGAAAGGTGCACAATCACCACAGATGCTATAGTGTGCAGGAGGGTCTGTTCAACTTGGCGGTGGTTACTTGACATCACAGTGTAGCACAAAGACACAAACATAAAGACATGGAGACATACAAAACAATGTCCGTGTTGCAGGTGTGGTGCTCTGCTATGGTGCAGTGTATGTAACACTTTCTCCATACAGCATTTTTTTTGTGTTCTTTTTATAACAAGGACACTAAGGGCCTACTAATAGTCAAGGCAAAATATTATACCCTAATCCTTGCAGCATTTGTTTCCTGCCAAAAATTTGCTCAGTTTAAAAGGAAATTCATTTAGAGTTTGCGTGTAATCCAAGCCACCTGCCCCCGTGTGAGGAGTTGCGAATTTCACGCCCTTGTCACACTATCTACTGCCAAACAGCCAGCACTATGGCTTTTTTAATAAAGCACAACAGCAAGTGCAGAAACTAGGTTGGGCATGCAGAACATAGGTTTCCGCTGTACATGCTTCTGCGTCCACAGCAGAAACATTGGATGTGCCATTTTCTCTTACTTGCACTTAGAGCAAAATTCGTGAGCAAGCAAAGCCTACACAGCAACAAGAACACTGAAACACTATTCCGAAGGTGGCATAGAGCCGGGCAAAAAAGACCTTTTGTCCACCCCATCTCCATCAAAGGAAGCACTGAAAAGTTTTTTTTTTTTTCAAGAATAAGATATAAATGCATCAGTACTATGCTGTGCTCTGTAATTATCTTTTTATTGCAATAGTTGTGTGCTAGAACGACAGAATTGTACCAAAAATCTTTCATTGGGCTATTAATAGAATGTATCACTGGTATAACAAGTCACAGGAAAATTAAGTCTTGTCCTGCAATTATCCCATATTTCTCTGTCACGAAAAGACAGTTGTTGATAATGTTATGTTTTAGATGCTGTCACATATTTTTCTTTCACTTTAACCTAAATTGTTATTTTCCTTTAGCATCCTTGAAAAAGCAGCATTATAAGAACAAAATCAGACCTCTTTCCAACACAAATTTGCTTGTCAATAGTTTTAGGTGCCCTGACACGCTCTTCAATGATCACGTGCGATAACAAATGGAGAATATAAGCAAACGAAAAATCTGCGAAGCAATGATATATCAAAATTAAGAAAAATGCAGCAATCTGAGCATAAGTACAGACACATAATCTGAAATTTAATTACGCTCTGAAAAACAAGGAAGAACAAAGATGTCAACCTGAATAGAACGCAAGCAATGATGAGAATTTTTAGCTCCATATAATAGTACACACCTCATAGATTCTTTCTATAAATAAAACATGAAATTTATTGACAGCACACCAGAAATTACAATTGTTTTCACCTCAAGCATCGGGCCAATTTCAGAGCCCTTTGTTTGTTTACTATATATAGTACTACTTTTAGGCATATAACTAACGGACTCCTACCTGTGAAATACAGAACTAATGCATGCCTTATATGGCAGCAGTATGAATATATAAGCAGGTGTATTACTTTGCATACTTTGTAAGCTATAATATGTCAATATTTTCCAACATGACAACCGTAACGATCTTGATTAAAAAAAAAGATAGAAACAGACAGACAGTTCAGTATTGTACAGCACTCAGTATCCTTGCTAAAAAGTGAAATTAAATGCTGAACCAAGACAGGACCAACCACACCATGTTCATATTAGAAGGCCACTTGGAATGTCTTGGTAATGACATGCAGGTTATGTGTCATACCACCATTACCATACTAGTGGTTACTACCATACAATTGCCACACAGTTATCACTGTTACTAGAACTACGATTAGTTATTAGCTATGCTACTGCTTCAACTGACTTGTGTTTGCCAAATCATGACCGCTACCGAGAAACAATGGGAAGTTTTTCTTTTCAGCACCAACAGGGACATCCAAATACGGATCCTGGAAGGAGCGCAAGATGTGATCGAGCAGCACGGCCTGGCACTCTACTTGGCTTAGCCTCCCTCATCCCTCACCATTTCGATGAATAAAAGTTGTCACTCATTATTTGCCAACTCATTATTTGCCAAAAACTCGTCCCACCAGCACAACCTACAAACACGGCTGTTTTTATTAAATGGTCCTTCACCGTTTTTGCAACAGTATATTAAGCAATTTTTGTTGCATCTATGTGCCACTGGCATTGCCACATACTTTACTTGTGTGCGGCACGAATTAATAGAAAAGAAAAAAACTATCAATAAAAAAGTATCAGGGACACAATACTTCCAGGGTGCACGTTAAAGAACCCCAGGCGGTCTAAATTTCCGGAGCCCTCCACTACGGCGTCTCTCATAATCATATAGTGGTTTTGGGACGTTAAACCCCACATATCAATCAAATCACAATACTTCCAACAACCTACACTACGGATTTCAATGCCTCAGTAGATGAAATAGGCTGATGCTTGTAACACATATTCTAAAAATGATTATAATGTACAGTATAACACAAAAGAAAAAAAAGTAACTGACTTACATGCGGCATCTCATTGCTTCGTTCCTACTCATTTTTGTGGAGGTGGGGTGGTTCAGTGCAATGTGGTGGGTGTGGAGATTGTACCTGACGCAGTAGTTACCTCGTCTGTGTTACTTTTCTTTCAGCAGGCCGGGCGAACGGCCTGTTTTCGCAGCCTGTCTAGCGCACCTACAACAACAACAAGGAACCGAAGAGGCGATTCGAATCGATAACTCTTAACAGCATGAAAAAAAAACAAAAAAAAAAGAGGACATGCGGCGACCGCACCACGTACGAACGTGTGAGCACGTCGTAAAGCTGGCTTTTCTGCTCAGCTTCGGAGCTCGCAGAGCGGGCTTCACTTTCAGGAGGGCGGGTGAGAGCCGAGATGGGTTGAGTGCGTTTGTGCCCAAAACTTTCGCTGTGCACGGTGAAGTCTAATGCCAACCATTGTAAAAAAACATACGCGAAGGCCATACGTAAACACGCAAGCATACGCTAAAACACGTAGGAAGTACTCATTACAATTTAGCTAAATTAGAGTAATTAGCGAATTACATACATATGTGTGGTCGGAGTAACGCCTCGCATTTCGCTGTCATACATTTCACTGAACAAAAGTAAATGAAGCTGGGCGATGTGCGAGAAGCGATTAAAAGCATGCATTAGCATTGTATGCTCTAGATACAAGTATTAAATTTAAAAAAAAAGAATTTATTACGTGCATACATGCAAGCAAGCAAGAAACATATACCTATGAGCACAACATCATGTCCCAAAAGAAGGAAAGTGAAAGTCTGCACCGGTGGGTTGTCAGGATTTTACAGATTGCTCCTGAAGAACAAGAATAAAAGGAAGATTTTGGTACGCAGTGCAGCGGTTCGCTAAGGCTCCATCAAACAGGTCCATCAGAAGCGCCGCTGACATTTATCCTCGTCGACTTCACATTCGTCAGCGCGAGAAAAAAAACTCGTCCCATTAACCCAGTCGGACAAGCTGGCCGATAATTACGCCGCGGTTTCCTGTACGTATATTCCTACACCAATGCATGCATGCATGTTCCCCGAGGCGAAACCAGTAACCGGCGATTAAGGTTTCACTAGCTTCCTGTGTCAAGATGCCCGCTCGAGGGTACGAAATCCTGCGTTTCCTTTAGCCCAAAAAAACTCCATTTTGCATCGCCGAGGACGTTTCTACGTTACAAAACACGAATGAATCGATCGCGAATTCGCGAACGAAATGTAAACACGCACCCCATCAACGAGCGCAAATAAGCTGCTGCAAAAACCCAGCCTACGTACGCGCATTTTGCATAATTGAATGTGAGGCCTCATGTATCTTCAACGGCGCGCCTACGATCAAACAATCGTGGCGTTAGGAACACGATAGTTCGATTCGTGCTGACGGCGAACACGAGAACGGGACATCCAAGCAGCACGCACTGCAGGAAGACGTAACACGATGCCGCGATCCCGTACGCCGCTGGTTGGAGCGAATATAGTCGGCCTAGCGAATCACTGATAAGCATTGGTTGTGCATGCAAGGAGCGCAACGGTACCTTTGTCGGGCTGTCTTGATAAGCGACAGCCAGAGAGGGGGGACTTATCGCTCCGCCCGCAGATTTCGGAGACGAAACTGCCCAAGCTGCTGCTGATGACCGCCCACCTCTAGCCTTCCGTCATTCACGCGTAGAAAGTCACTGGCCCAACGAGCCTAACGTCACGTGACGTCAATTTGTGTAGATTAAGCAGCATTGCCAGAGTACAATATACTTTCTTTGGAAGGCTTAGTCTTAAATTTGTCAAGTGAATGCTTACAACCTAGCCTGCGTCTGAAAACGAGTGCGCAATCACTTTGGTTTCATGTTTGGTTGCGCGCGGTGGATTCCGGTTAGGAGGTTAGCAACAACGCTCAGTAAACATGGTGGCCTGCAGAGGGCTTTTATTTTTCGGTTTCGCAGTTTCGTTGACGTATCCACCAAGTATCCACGGCGAGCGTACTAAGCGGCGGCGGTAGCTCTGCTCCTCCGTGCTCTGCCTGTCACGATCGATTTTACGATGCTATCTCGCGAGAACGATAACGCGCGTGATAAGAGTTTGCTGCCGGGCAAGCACTGTACGTAGTCGACGTAGTCTTGAAATCGTGAAGCGATTTTCGCATGCAGGGGGGTGTGCTATTTACGTCACCGGCATGAATACGTGTGTTGCCTTGAAACGGTCCCGACGTTGATAAAGTAGCGCTTTTTCTATTTTTGTTTGTTATTTGCGCGTACCACTCTGTACGCTTAACAAGTGGCGCAGGTGCCGACTTCCATGGAACAGGGGCGTTTATGAAACGTATACGTTGCATATTCCGCGTGCGTAAACGTGGACAGGTTCCGCGGAAAGTTCACTAGTTGACTTTTCTTTCTACGTAGAATGAATGGAGCTGCAACATGTCATCAGGGTACGCTATGTGATTTTGGTCGATACTTTCGTTTCATGTCAAACCTGGGAAGTTTCGGGAAACTTGTGTATGTATACTGCCAAGATTAAGTTTGTGTGTACGCGTTTTAACGGAGTAACGCATTAACGACGCGGTTTCACGTACCTGTATCATTTTTGACTCGCTGTAGCCTATCTTTAGCTGGGGGAATGTAAACAGTGCGCGCTGCACTTATTCGGACAGTGGTGTAGCTCGCTATCGAACGTAGAATCACTCATGCTTTTTTTTCGTGATTGTTAAATCTTCATCGTTTAGCGCAAGATCCGTGAGCCATGATTACATCGCCGTCCGAGATGATGTGTTGAATAGGACATACATTAACTAATTTGAACTCGTGGAAGTAAGCCCTTGCAGCAACCTAAAGCTAAGACAAAAGGTGCACATCAACAACCCAATCCACGAAGAGATTAAAATTTTATGTGGAATAATTATTCATTCATTCCCATCATCAGGAAAAGCATGCCGACAGTCTACAGTTAGTAACAAATTTTAATGTGTCTATACTCAAGCTAGCCTACATACTCAGGCCTGCAAGTTGTTTTGGGGATCTTTCTAGCCTTAATTAGAGAGTGTCCCTAGCTCGTATTCCTTAAATTTGTTTCTGCACATTCTTCATTAAGCATATGTGTGAGAACAGAAATGCAGTGCTTGTCAGGAATGAGAACTTCTGTGTTCACATTCTGTAGTATACAATATATAATAGATTGTCTCCCCACAAAACCAAGAATGTTGATGGAAGATTGCCTAATTTTAGTGTTTCGGTTTGTGTTGTTTTAACTACGACATGCAATCAAACTTCAAACCGTGGCCTAGAACTTGACACCAGAACAGTGTAACCACTTCAGTGATGGCAGCGCCTCGCCGCGGTGGTCTAGTGGCTAAGGTACTCGGCTGCTGACTCGCAGGTCGCGGGTTCGTATCCCGGCTGCGGCGGCTGCATTTCCGATGGAGGCAGAAATGTTGTAGGCCCGTGTGCTCAGATTCGGGTGCACGTTAAAGTACCTCAGGCGGTTAAAATTTCCGGAGCCCTCCACTACGGCGTCTTTCATAATCATATGGTGGTTTTGGGACGTTAAACCCCACATATCAATCTATCAATGAGTGATGGCAGCAAGTAACGGAGGGTCATATTGGATCATCTAACTTGTGTCTATTCTTGAGCATAAAAAAAGTTCGTCTATGTGTAGAACAACACGTTGTTGAGCCATTTGGTAGAGGTTCGTCATCAAAGAAAGTAAGATGCTCAAATGCGGATGCAGGAGAAGAAAAACTGACAAGGCAAACACCCACAAATTTATGTAATGGGTCATTTGTGCCTTCTGCTGCATCAATCAGACACGTGCACTGAGTGAACGCTATTCTCCGGATCCCTCCTAGCATATCTAAAACGTCGCTGTCATCGTATGGTTTTAGTGACATGGAATGTCTTGTGTAATTAACTACGTAATCTGCCATTCAAAAATCTGCTAAAATGAATTTTTCATCTGTACTACAATTTAAATTTTGTTTCTCCCATTATGTACTATGTAGCAGCTTAGCTGTTCCGGAACCACCTTTTCCTATGCTTTGCACAATGACGCTACATGTTAACAATAATTAAAATCACACAATCTCTTATTGCATTTGACTCGGATAACTGGCGAGTGAAAGCTGTCTTCTGCTTGGCCGATTGTATTGGTCGCACCCAAGCGATTTTTACACCCAACATGGATCTGCACTGCCTCATGAATCAATGGCATTGGAAGCTCTTTGCACTTCACATGATCATGCAGTGCCTTCTTGACAGGTCCACCTTTGACCAAGCGAAGATATCATGTGATCATCATGTGACATCAAAGCAATGTCACAGTGATGTCACAAATTTCGGCAGTCTGTGATGTCATATGGTGACACCATCTTATGATGATGAATTTTCGCATTACTTGCATTGACACTGCTGATGTTGATGGTCACTTTTTGCATTCTGAAACTTCTCTCCCACATGCAGAACCAGACGACATGGTTGGCGAGCAGGCCAGTCGAACAGACAGTGACTGTGTGGTGAAGGGCTCCCTGTACGGCGAGCAGCTGAGTCGGCACCATCGTGGTAGCTTCGGTTGCAAGGAAGATGCCATGACCGGTAGACTGCCCTTCCACGGACCTTCGTCGCGGGAGGTGGAGCTGGCCAGTGTGCCAGTCCTCGAGAGGCGCGGTGGACTTTACAGCGGCGGAGCGCTAGTCGTGCTCGTCGTCTGGTACTTTTTCAGCTTCACCACGTTGGTGCTCAACAAGTGCATCCTTTCGTACCAATCTGGGGACCCTGTAGTTCTGGGTATGTAAGGCTGAATCTCGTGCATCAGGTCAAATTGATTCACCTACAGTGTCAATTTTATAAGTGTACACATACAGTGTCTTTAATAGGCTAGAAGCTTTAAAGTTTGACACTCCACGATGGTATGTGTAACATAGACAAGTAAGAAGAAACTAGGCTGCATTCATGCACTTCTAACATAACTTTTTTTTGTGTGTAACGGTGGCTTCATTCTAGTTCTAATGCCTGTATTTGTGGCCATGCAATACTTAAAAAAAAGAACAGGCAAAGAAGCATCCCCTTGTGATTTCAGTGAACAAGTGTTACTGTTTTTTCCTGTTCATGTTTTACTTGTGCCAATGTCACACGGAAAGAGCACAGGTGACTAGCCATATCCATAACAGTGTCTTTTGTTAATTTGTGTATTGTGGGCCTAAGATGACGCACAATGCACTTTTCCGAAGAAAAAAAAAAATTGCACCTGACAGATGTTATGTCTCTGTCACGAAGCTAAATGCGCCTTGTTTTTGTGAAGGAACACAATGACATAACGGTCATCAAAAGAAACGAGGCCGTTTTCTTAACAAACAAGACGGGCACTGATATTTACTGAGCACATGGACATGACAGATAGTACAAGAGTCAAGAAAGCGAAAATAATACATGAATGCAAAGGGGAGACAAGAAGAGAGTTTCACCATTTGTGTGTGTGTGTGGGGGGGGGGGGGGGGAGAGCCACAGACTTTGTAGACACAAGGCCATGTGGCGAGGGCATACGGCGGGTGAGCACCGAGGAGGCAACGACAGCAGACACGATGGTAGATACCCGACTCGGTGGAGGGCAATGGCCGAATTCCCTTTCAGCGTTCGCCAGCTAAAGCTCGAACTCTGTTGTAGAGATGCACTTGGGCTCAGATCGTGTGTCCTTGCGAAGCTGAAGACGCCACACACCGGCAAGAAGCCTGATGCTCGACGCGGTGTCAGGTGGGAGTGCGTAGCGAGCATAAGCCAGGTACGTGGCTGTCCGCTACTCCGCCGCCCTGGACACTGTCTTCTTCTGGCCACGTCTGCCCTGCTCCTCTCGAGTCTCCACTGTGGAGCGTGCTCATTGGTGGAGTCTTTCCTGCGCCACGTGCAGCAGGTGCAGAGTCTCGTCTTTGTCATCATCTTCTTTTAAATATGGTCCCGCTGTACTCGTGCACATCATCACAGGCTCTTACGTGACCAGTAGTTGCAATTTGACTTGCCCGAAACTTCTGCAACAGCAAATGCAGCTGACAGTTCTGTCACTGTCGCAGTACAGCTACTGACATCACTCACAAAGCTTTGTCTCCCTTCTGTGCTGAAACACACATTCATTCCTTCCTCTGTTTTTGTGATTTCTTTCACGAGTCTTCCTTCATTTGTCATTTGTCGCATATTAGCTTTCATTAACCTGATAACCTTGTTGGTAATGCAACTGTCACTATGTGTGGATTGCCCTTCTTGCAGTGCCCTTCTACAACTGACTTTGTATCAACATAGAAGAATGAGAGTTCAAAGTTTGTTCAATGTGACTGAAGTTCAAGTTTGAAGTTTATTATTAATAAAGTAGCGACCCATAAAATGAAGGAGACGGTTTACTGACTAGAGTCTCATAGTCCGAAGACATAGGGAGACCCATGATAAAGCAAGCAAGTAAAAAAATAGATATAAAATACAAAGGCAAGTTAAATGTTGTATGTTGTGAAAAGTCCCTTCCACAACCTGTCAATGTGGCTAAACTAACAAATGTTGAGTTCACAGAAAATTGCTGCATTCTGCAAGCAGGGACGTGATTGGTCAAGCATCTCATCTTTGGAGCAATAGCTCGCTCTTTCTCGATCTGCTGAGTACCATGCTTCAGCGCCTCCCTGCCGATGTGTGGTGATAAAAGCGTAGTTCGCAGTGAAACCTGACAGAGGAACTAACTGTTGGGAAAACGGGACGATATTTGTGACGTCGCTGCAGTCTTGTCTATGTTCAAATGCATACCGTAATACTTCTTGCGGGTGCACACTTGTCGCTCTTCCAGGCGCAGTGCAGATGCTATGCTGCTTCACCTGTGGCTACGTCCAGATGCAGCTGACCACCAGACGAAAGCTGTCCCCCGAGAACTCTCCCAAGATGCACAATGTCGTCCTTGTTGGGTCGTTGCGGTAAGCCCTGTTCTTGCCTACATTGTGTTCTCGTCATAAGATGGTTTCTACTAACACCGTTTGTTACATTACAAAGTCTTGTCAGAAATCTAGCCCACCTTTGAAGAGCCATTGTTTCTCTTCACACATTGAAAGATAGCTGAAAAGTTTATTTTTGAGAATTCCGGTATAATTTTTCGTTTTAAAACTTCAAAGCTGGAATTGGGGCAGTATTTGTAACCCCAAGAAACAGTGTGGCAGCTTGGGCTAGTTGGTATGGCATGACGATAGTTATAGCTGCGAAAACAAAACGACGACACAGAGACAAGAAGAACACGAAGTGCTCGTGTCTTAGCGCTCAGTGTCTTTCGTATCCTTCTTGTCTCTGTGTCGTCGTTTTGTTTTCGCGTTCTAACTATCGTCATCCCAAGAAACAGACTAGTCTGTTGCCCTAAAGCAGCAGTCTCAGACTCGCCTAAGCTTGTGGGCCACAGTTACAAAACTTAGTCTCCCAAAAGGCTGGCACAGTAAAGAAGACAGCGCAAACAGCATTGGGGGGGGGGGGGGGGGTTGTGTTTAGTTGTTTGAACAAAATGTCAGGCTAACGTTGCCATTTGAAAAAAGGCCTTTATTGTATATCTTACATGGGTAATTTCTGAAGAAGATTTGATGTCAGGATTCACTAACAGTAACAATTCTGACCTCCAGAATGACTGAAGTCTGGACGTCAATTTTGAAATGCTATAGTCTTCGTTCCACAGGTATGTTTAGACACGTGGTGACTGCATGGGGTGTATCGTGAAAATAATTCTTGGGAACAGTCACGTCTAGGTAGTTGATTAACATACTTATTAAGAAAAGAAAATAGGGCAAGAACAGTTGTGTGCGCAGCAGGCCTCTAGCGAAACGTCCGTGGGCTACATGTGGCCCATGCGATTGAGACCCGTACATTTGAGCAATGGTGTTTGTTGTGCTAATCAGTCAGTAAACTGGTCAATTGATTAGACAGCCAGTCAGTAGAGCAGTAATATTTTGTTGCTAGTAATTTGATCAATCAATTAATCAATCAATCAATCAATCAATCAATGTGCCTGGTTTTTCACCACTTAAAAAAAGAACGCCAAATTCAGTCCACTTACCTTGGCTGCTGCTTGTGTACGTTTGCAGATTTAGCACGGTGTTCTTGGGCCTGGTGGCGTTATGGTACGTGCCAGTGTCATTTGCAGAAACGGTGAAGAGCTCGGCGCCCGTGTTCACGGTGGTCATCTCGCGGCTAGTGCTGGGCGAAATGACCACCTGGCTGGTCAATATGAGCCTCTTCCCGGTCATGGGAGGCCTGGCCCTGTGCAGCGCGAACGAGCTGAGCTTCAACCTGCCAGGCTTCATTGCGTCTCTCTCTACTAATCTCTCGGAATGGTGAGCGCATGGCTGGCTACTTATTGTTGTATTTTTCCATTAAATTTATACAAATTTTACCGTGTCACTCGAATTTCATCTCTATCACATCCTGTTTTACAAAGCATAGATTCGATTTGTAAAAAAAAAAATGTTCAGTTGTCGGTTTGCAAACCTTCTGTGAGAAGTCCTGCAAGAGTGAGAAATGCAAAAAAGCTACTGTAAATTTTGATGTGGCTCGCTTTCTTTGTTAGGCACAATATTAATGAGAACTAACAGACATTGATGCCAAGAGAAGTATAGCAGATATTATTAGAAGTAATTGCAATGTAAATGTGTGAAGGAAGAAAAGTGGACCAGTCACGTCATCACATTTGTATTACAATTACTTCTAATAACATCCCCTATACTTGCCTTGGCATCATTGTCTCTTACTTCTCATTAAAGCATATACTTGTTTATTTTTAGAAAATTTACACAAACGAGCAGCTCCTTGAAGCAGATGAAATCGGCAACTCCAATGTCACTGAAAAATCACTGTAATGTAAATCATGGAAATGTAATCATGGTACCACACTGAAGAATATTGCCAGCCGAAATGATTTCCTTCTTGACTGTATTGCGAATGTTGTTCTGTAGCTTATGTCTAGATGCCTTTTAATGCTTTGACACGTGACATGCGCACAGTGCTATGTGCATCTTTTTAACGGTATGATTTGGGTTAGCTTTCAGAACGTCTTCTCCAAGCGGCTGCTCACCGACGAGAAGGTCAAGCTTCTGTGAGTGATTCTGTCGACATCTGTCACCATCTATGTCTGTGCCACTGAGTCGTATTAATGGAAAGCATTCCATGAGATGCTTTTGACACTTTTAAAGTTTGGAAGTAAACAATATGTCAGAATAAAAAGATATATGTTTCTGAGGATAAAGATTAGGAAGAAAAGCTCTAACAATGTAAAGTAGAACATTCATGTGCTGTAGCACTGCCTTGATCTCTGGCAAAAAATACGGTTCGGTTCTTGGTCTACTTGTATTATAGGTACATATCAACAGCATAAGACCAAAATTAATATGAAGCAGCGCCTCCCCCCCCCCCCCAATTATTGCATACCTAATAGACTGTAAGTGATGGTAAAAAGGGCTTTGATATGTCAAACCATGTAACTTTATTATTGCATCATTATGTACTTCAGCACAACTTTAGCTTGGTATTTTTATGTTATAAAGTATCTATGCTACAAAAAACCTTGAGTATCCAAAGTAGTTCTGCGCAGGCCGCAAATAGTCACAAATTAGGTTTGTGGTTGGATCTGTTACCAGGATATGCTAGACTACTAGTTTTCTCTCGCTGCAAGAATTTCCCCTCTGTTTCTCAGACTTGTCGGGCGTCACTGCAGCTACATTGAGAGTCTTGGAGGCATCAAACCCAGTCTATCTGTAGTTTATCAGTCTATCTGTAGTAAACAATAAAGTGATAATGTTTCCCAACTAAGTGATCATTGAGCCAAGTGGCCAGTTTGAAAATCAGCCAATTAATAAAGCACATGTGTTCCTTGCTTATCAATTAATTAATCAGTCTTAAATTCAGATGGCAAAAAAAAGAAATATGACATTTATTTTGTTAGGCAGTTCATTTGAATAGTCAGTTTTCTAATCAGCCAGTCAATGGACCAATTAATACTAAATGCATAAGCATTTCTCTGCTGTCTCAATGAAGAATCTGTCCATCTGTCAGTCTGATCGGTGCTACAAATAAATGAATAGATAAATAAATAAGAGGCTAAGTTTGCACTGCAGTGCTTTGGTTTGAACCAGGGTTCTCACGCTCTGAAGGCAAGTGTCGTAACTGCTACACTACACATTCATGCTTGCGAAATAGGAACATATGCGACCTACATGAATGCGTTGTACCCGTCGTGTTGTACAAATGTAAGAAGAAAGCACTCTCTGAAGGCATTGTTTAATTTCGTGGAAGTGGAATAAAAGCCCTGTCTAGTATAAGATGTAAAGCCAATGGGGAGGGCTGTACACTTGTCTCTGTGGCTGAAGGACGACTGCTAGCGAGAACATGAAAGACACCGTGTCAACGCTGGTGTTCCAGTGACAGCCCCTACCTCCAGTTAAACAAAGCACTTATGCATCACTTGTCACTTCGACAACTTCTGAAGAAGACTGGAGGATTGGGCACGTTGGTACGACATGATAAAGTGCAAATCAGTGCAACCGACAAAGTGCCCTTTTTTCTGTCCCCTTTTGCCAGTTGCGCTGGCTCATTATCCTGAAAAAAATTCTCTGTGGATATTTTTCCTTGTCAATCAACCAATGAATCGGATATATTGCACTCAGCACACTCCTCGCCTTTTTTTTTTTGCTCCCTCAGACCCGTGGAGCTTCAGTGCTACACTAGCCTAAGCTCGGTGTTCATCCTGGTGCCCACCATGTTGGCCCTGGTGGACTTTGGCAAAGTGTGGGAGACCTGGTCATGGAATATGGCAGGCATGCTGCTGCTGGGGGGACTGTCATTCCACTGCCAAAGTTTCACGGAGTACATTCTGCTGGGCTACATCTCACCTGTCACCCACAGGTTGGTCACTGCTCAGTTTACGTAGACCATAAGATAAAATTGGTGCGACTGAACCAATAGACAATTGAATTGGTATAGAAGCGTTATGCAGGTTTGTATTGCCGAGTCATGCAGCACGTGAGGGCACCACAGAAAAGCCGATTTATTGCAGCAAACCCATCAGTAAAAAGTTATGGTATGTTCAACACTTGCCAGTGAAATCCCAGCTTGAAATTGGCTCACTCACAATGTTCAACTATACCATACCTTTTGTTAAATGTATTTAGAACACCTATTTTTGTTGCACTGCAATCAGCTCTGTATCCAGATTATTATGATATGATAATTTACTTTGTAGCTCTTTTAGTTTACAAAAAAAGCTTGCTCCCAAAAAGGCCATAGAAATATTTTGTGTTTTGAAATCTGCACTTTATACAAGTGAAATAATTGCATATTTGAAATTAGAACACATATATACATAAACTCGCCAAGTTTCATCCAACTCGGTTTACAAATAAAAAAAAAAACTTTTTCAAAGAGCAGTGTCTCCCTTAGAACAAGCTAAATTAATTTGAAGACATTAAACAAGTAAATGAACAAGACAGAGCACCATGAACTTTAACAACCGATAAATTTGAGAAAGCAGCTAAAAACATTTCATAATGCATTGATGTGCAAAAAATTTTCAATTTTAAGACTTTAATTTTTTTGTTGTTATAGTATACAGTATGCATCAATTGAAATACAGAAATTTAGGGTTAAGTAATGCACATGCTTTCATTTCCAGCGTCCATAGTTTGTGTTGCGCTGATGTAGTTTTGACTTGAACACTAACATTACAGCCAACATTGCCTTTAGCAACTGTATGTAAAGTGAAATGATGCAGTTATGATAAATAGCCATCACCACAAGAAAAAAAGTTGATTCCATAAATACTGTTCAAGTAAAATTGCCTTTAACACACATTACTCATGTAAGGAAAATGTGTGCAAGACCATTCTGTATTGTATAGTCTTGTTACAATACCCTTTTAACTATTTCTTTGACAAACCTTCATTTCCGACTTCCGATTCTCAGCGTGGCAAACACAGTCAAGCGGGCGCTCATGATCTGGCTCTCCGTCCTGGTCTTCGGCAACCAAGTCACATTCCTCAGCGGTCTAGGGACGCTCATTGTCATAGCTGGCGTGTTCCTGTACAACCACGCACGCAACATTGCCGCGACTCTGTACCAATACGATGTAACGCTCAGTACCGTCAAAGTTACTGACCATGATGTTTGATAGGTTTAGGCGTTCAGAAACAAGACTTTGATTCACCAGTCTTGAAAACATGCTAGAGGCCGATCTTTTCAGTCATTGGCTGCTGTTCGTAGAAACATTGCGACATTATTTAACATATTTATTGCACGGTATATTGCAAAGATGCTAGATTAAAAATGACAACTTTATTTCAAGATTGCCGACACAAGGCATTGTGCTATCATGCTTGTGAAATGCATTGAATAGTGCCTTTTTTATATGCCTCGTCAGGTGAAAGAGCCAAAGTTCATGGTTGTTTTATTAAAAGGTAGAGATAAAAAGAGTAGCTGTGTCAGCTATGGGTCACGCAAGCATAGAATCTGAAACTTGTTCCTAGCTGTGGCCAAGTTTTGAACTTTGTGAACATGATCTTGTGATTGTATACACACTGCTATCACTAGAAGAATTTGGGAACACCTTCTTCCTTGCAGAATTAACACTAAGCAAGCATTAAAAACCCAAAACGAAGTGAAATGCTCTCCTAGCGCTGCATTTGGCGCCCCCCCCCCCCCCCCCCCCCCCCCCCAAATTTAATATGTATTGCAGTGCAGGCTGTGGTATATTCCTGTGCGATAATTTAGAAATTTGTGGCAGTGTTTATATTTGTATGTACTCCTCATATACATAATCAATCATCATTGTTGATGAAAACACAAATCTTGGCATGTACAGTCATTCCTTATTTAAAAATGTCAAAGTAGCATTTGCTGTGCTTTAAGAAACTAAATGTTGTGTGTCTATAGCGTCGGATGGCGGCCATAACAGCTTGCCCTTGTCGCTGATACTATGTACTGATATTAAATTTGATTTCTTAGTTGCCTAGCTCTCGCAATGCCGAAAAATTCTTTCTGAAATCAGGATGTGCTCAATAAGCGATAACACATATGCGAATATTTTTGTGATGTTTCACTTGGCACGCTCATAAACTTTCTGGGATCCTTTATTACCGAGTGCAGTCGATTTGCTGATTGATATGAGGGGTTTAATGTCCCAAAACCACCATACTGATTATGAGAGACGCCGTAGTGGAGGGCTCCGGAAATTTCGACCACCTGGGGTTATTTAACATGCACCCAAATTTGAGCACAAGGGCCTACAACATTTCTGCCTCCATCGGAAATGCAGCCGCCGCAGACGGGATTCGATCCCGCGACCTGCGGGTCAGCAGCCGAGTACCTTAGCCACTAGAACCACCGCGGCGGGGCAATCGATTTGTTCACTAGTGGCTGTAGCTAATCATGAATCCTGGAATATTGTTATTGTGTGAAACAAGTCAAACCCGAAAATGTTAGCGAATGCGCTCTGTGGCCGGTACTAGAGTATGCTGGCAGTCCCTGCTTCATTTTCAGGAAACTTTCCCCGTACTGTCATACGAGGGTAGCGATTTTTTATGTGTGTTGTGCAATCTCAACTGTGTCCTGTCACTACTGTGTTCTTGTAACACACGTACTATACGTTTTTGTTGTAGCTGTAGTGAAGGTGCATTCTGGGATTAAATGTGGTGTATTGTCGTTTCTATATTCCTTTGATAACGACAAATGGCATTAAAGTCAGTACAGGTGAACCCCCTTATTAGAGACCTGCACTAGGAAGAAGTTCTTGTCTTTTATAAGCAGAAGATCACGTCCTCATTTTCAGATCAGTTCTTGTTTTCATGTAAGCACAATGGTTTCTCCTATACCATTTTGTCTGTGTCAGTGGCTCTTATAAAATGGTTCAACTGGTGATGGGCAGCAATTACTTTTGTGACTGTGTGTGGCTTGCTTGTAAATATGCTGAGTATTAACTGCAATTAGACAGCAGAGAGCAATGATTCCAGCTCTAGTCATCAACTGTTGCAGTCGTCTATTAATGGCTCCTTGTTGTTTTTTGCAATTGCCTTTCCAGATAATTTTGCTTTCTCGCTGAAGACGTGGTAATTTCAGGTACCTCCGGTACCACATGCAGATAAAATGAGGTCTGGAAGGGCTCGGAAAGGAGACTAGTTTGACGAAGAAAGATGTAACGGGGCCCTGCAACAATGTCTCGGCATGGTCAGAAAACTGTGTCGATCAGTAGTCCCAGCTCCTGAGAAGACGTGAGCCAACCATTATAGCGCTGCACGTCAACTGGAATTTGCATTTCTCAAAGTATGCTAGCAATTGCTCCTTCTTCTCTCTACAAATGATGTTATATACCCAAATTGTTGTGCTGTATGGCCAAAGTTTGTGGCCATTGGATTATTTGAGCATCGAGTGATGCGTAGTTACCGTGGTCGCCACGGGATGCCCCCATGTGCCTGCGCGCGCTTTCTAGTCCGAAAGGACAAAAGAGCTTGAAGCATGTGACAAATCCTATATCTTCACTCCAATTTGATAGATTCAAAATTTTTTCGCAGCAGTAGATTCACAAAGCAATAAACTCTCTTGCTCAAGCCATTTGATGATGACTTAGAAAACTGTTGCAGGGCCCCTTTAAGTGCAGTGTTGTAAAAACTGAGAGCCCATTTCTCATAGCTACAAGACCTTTCAAGTATACCTTCACTATGTTGGGCCTGGGGCTGTGTTTTCCATTGAGCTTTCACAGACATGTAAATTGGCTAAACTAAAAGATATCGTACAGCAGGAAAAGAAACAAAATTTCTGAGTGTTTGCCATGGTGTTCCCCTGAAGCAATTCACAATATATAAATTATGTAAAAGTAATCAATTTAAAGCTTAGTTGACAATTTTGTTCAACAGAACATACGTGTTTCGTTCCCAAAAGAAAACATTTGCCGAAGCCTTGCCCTGATAATTGTGACAGACTGATTTCACAAATATTTGCACGCAGTTATCTGCATACCTTCAGCTTTACGAGAAATTGTACGTGGAGGGATGTTACCCAAGAGCATAGCTATGGTTTAAAAGGTTTGTTTGCATTGTTCAAAACGGTTATGCCTTGATGATATAATAGCTTTCTCGAGGTTTCAGATGAATAGCACAGGAAGTGTAAGCATCTGTGGGCGACTGTCTTCCTTGCAGTATGTAAAGCATTCACGTGGCACTGCGCTGCAAGTGTTGATATTATTGGACAGTGAAATCTTTTGAAAGCGATCGTACACCCGAATGTGACACTCTAGGTAACCCCCCCCGAGTGTAAAGAATGAAACAATTATCATGGCAGATATACATATCTCATCAGTTTATGTAAATGGGCAATGCAACAAAACAAACTACTTTCACAGAAAATTTTTAATGGCGTTAATGGTAATGTTCCTTGTTCAGTTGTGCATGTCAGCAGGGTAAGCTCCATGAGCTGGCTTGAACATCTGTGATAACACCAGAAAGCGTAACAACGCGAAAAAAGGCAATCAACGTGCAGTTTTTCTTTAATTGTTGATGGCATTTCTTTACGTGTGTTTGTCACAGTTGCATGTACCATTCCTATTTCAGGTTAGGTCTTCGTGCTCAAATTGCACCTGAATGTCATCTGCCTAAGTAGGCTGTCATTGCAAAGGTTATCAATGGAAGGACATGCTCCTATCACAAAAGGGGTGAAACTTTTTTTTGTTCTAATGGTTTCTATATGTGAGCTGGCGCAGTTATGTTTACAGGTTAGTAATGTCATCTTAATGGCGCTCTCTGGCAGAAAAGAAAAAAAGACAGGCATTGTGTATTTATTCTGGGTCAGTCGGGGCTAAGCAAACCATTTTTTCGTTCATTTCACCGGTGCACTTGATGTCGACATGATTTGAGTGTGTACCCTTTGCGTGGCACCCAAGTAATCACATGCAACTGCGTAATTACCATGTGCAAAATTGCTCTCTTGATTTATCGCCTTTGTGAAAAAGCTGTCCCACTTTCAAATTTGTTGTTTGAGTTTCACTTGTCCAGGACTGCATGTGTCATCACAACTGTTCTCCCAGGTAGAGCAGTGAATGTACAAATAAAAATTTTGTGACATTAAGAAATTTGTTGCATCTGCGGTGTGTGCCACTACAAATATGTCCTCTGGAATTGCTTCACCCACAGATGCAGCCCACCATCACTGACAAACATTTTTTAACGCACAAGGTATCATGAGTGAATAGCATGCACAAATTCACACGAGACAGCAATATGCCTCAACGCAAAAATGTAAAGACGAAGTATAAAACGGAGTCTACAGGAATCGAACTTGCAACCTGTAGCACACAAGTTCAATACTGCAATGAATGTGCCCAAAGCAGGTGTTCACGAGTTTGATGATGGAAAACACTGATTAAAAATTGCTCATGTGCTAGCTGTGCATTCGCTTTACACATTTTTAAATGACAATGAATACAAATGGACACTATCACGGCGACATTGTGCGTGTTCTGAATTGAAATCACTTGCACAGCTTCAATGGCTCTTAGTGTGGCCGATAGGAGGTATACTATCAGAATTCAGCATTATACTTAAGCATTCAAAGCTACTTCACTAATGATAGGCCCCTGATATTTTTTTGTCATAAGACAAAACGTGTAGGACGAACCTGATTAAGTACACAATCAACATTTGTACGTTCAGGCAGGCTAAGTTGCAAGATAAAGCCTCTGGTGATTCTTAAATTCCACAAAACAATGTGTTTGTGCATCCTCAAAGCTCTGAAACCTTAGCTAATAATGTAGAGTGAAATGTTTATTCCGAATCCCTAGTTGCGTGGCCATGATGTGCGACCCTCTGAGAGAAAGGTGAGTGTCAAATGAGCAATCTGTGTCGGGAGAAATGTGGTCTCAAGCCTTCTTGAATTTCTTTAAAAGGTTGCTCTGCTCGATGGCAGCCCTCCGCTTGCGCTGGAAAACACAGATACAAAAAACACAAGTCAAATTTCAGCAAATGCTTTACACTGAGGACCTGTACACTAATGCTATTTGTAGCACGCTATTTACAGCGTGGCGCTGTGTATAGCGGGAGTACTTGGGTAGCTTTATTGAGTATAATGCTATCAGTAAGTGGTAATTTAGGCTTCTTGTTAAAATTTGGTTTTCTCTTGAAATGGCAGAGTCAAAGCGTGAATGAGGTAAGCATGTGCAGTGCTTCTAGCAACAATGCTGAGATGCTGCACCCCAGGCAACAAGATTCATGTAAGCATTCTTTTAGAAAGCAGAAAAAGGCTTGTCACTTGCCAGGTATACAGCTTTCTACTCTCACACGTCTTTCGGGTGTATTTCTGTCACGCAGTAGGTGGCCTTGCGTGCCTTGCCGTGCTATGATGGCACACCCCTGGTACTTCTAGGTCATGAAAGGCATGCGTGCTGTCACTGTGGCTAGCGTTCTTGATAGGTAGGTAACAAGCTTGCTGCTTCTGAGGACAGAAATACGAGCAAACCCAAATTACAATTACTGTTGTATGATGGAAGATGGGTGCAAGCGTTTTAAGTGACGCTTTTATAACTTGCAGATTTTGGCGTTGTATGCAAAAATTTCGGTGCGCACAAGTGCAAAGAAATGGGATCTAGAAGTTGCGCCAGTCACATGCGTATTTGTATGTGCAGTTTTCCAATAACTTGTGTTTGCTCAATTGTGTGATTATCAGCAATCAACCATTTCTGATTTGGCAATCTGATCTTTTATCGAGGTGACTTGTGCTTTCACGATGCCACATTTAATTGTCGCCTGTATATGAACGCACAACCATCATCTGAAGTGTTGCGCTTCTGAGCACTTGGATAAAGGCCTAATTCCAGGCATGGAGGAAGGAAGCATTTCACAATGCGATAGGAAAAATAAAAAAAAAGAACGATAGGCACACACATTCCTCTCTCTCTTCCAGATATGGTAACGGTTCCCTAATGTTTTCTTTAGTGTGCATATGATGGCTTGGTACTCACGTTAGGAGTTCCAGGCGTGGCACCGACGTCAAGGATCTCCGAGATACCCCGTATTGGTACTTCGGCGCTGGAGCTTCCTCCAGGTTCGGCCACACCGACGCCAATGGTGCTGCCAATACTGGCTCCGATGCCGCTCGACGAGCTGGTCAGTGCCGCAACACCTGTGGCCGCAGCCGTGGCGGCCGCTCGCTCGGGCGCCATCACCTCGAACTGGTGCCGCAAGGTCTGCAGCTCGTACTCGGACGTAGCCAGAGCGAGTTTGAGCTCGTACAAGAGCACCATGTCGCTGCGCAGCTCATTGAAGTGCTGGCACACCTCTTCGGATGGCGTTGGATTCAGCTCTGAAAAAAGAAAAATTAATTGTTGGGGTTTAACATTTCGAAACAACAATATGGTTATGATGGACACCATAGTTTTGATCACATGGGGTTCTATGATGTGCCCCTTAATCTAAGTAAACGAACCTCAACTATAGAGACGGGCAAATATTTAGCTGCTCTGAATATATGAACAAACGCTACAGTATCTTAATTTGATTCGATACAAATTTAGATTCTTCAACATGAATAAATACATGTGTATTTCAAAACACATAACCCCATTGTCAATGGAGCTTCACTGCAGCATATGGATGCTATGCCGTGAAACCACCTATTGAAAGAAAATCCACATTGTGTCAAAGCCACACTTCCGATGTTAAATGCACCTCTTACCCCAACTTCAATTATTATTTTAGAAGTTTAAAAGCGAGCATATATGCACTAAGCATAGCACTTTTTAAAACTTAATGTACAGTGCCAGTTATAACTCGCACCCTGCTGGTGCACAAATCTTGCAAGTATTCAAAGCTGCTTCCACTTCATTTCGAACCAAAGCATCACACGTGCACCTTTATTTTTTCTTCTATCAATTCACGTATTCTGTGACATTATGAAATTAATAACAGTAGAGTTTTCAGGGTATAATTCATGCACTTATTTCCTTTTTCACTTTAATCTTCTTTTAGGTAGACTTGTGCAAATATTCGAATTTTTGAATATTTGAACGAACATCACAGTATTCGAACTAACATCATAGTATTCGTACGAATATTCGAACGAATGCTGCAATTCAAATGCTTTGAATTTGAATGAATGGATGGATGAAAACAACTTTATTGAAAGTCCGGCGATGTTTACATCCCAGGTTCAGGTCTCCTATGAGGGGACTTCAAGGCCTTGCCTCGTCCCAGGCCCGCTGGACTGCCCACTGTTGTTTCTTGAAGTTGAAGCTCCGCAGAGCGGCTGCCAACTTCGACGCAAGAGCATCCGGAGCTACTGCCACTTCAGCTGCTATGACAGAGCACTCCTACAATATGCGCGAGAGTGTTGCTCGAGTCGTCCGGCATAATTTGCAAGTAGCACTCGGGTATTGCGCGGGAAAAAAGTGCCGTAGTCGCACCAGACTAAGGAAGGTGTCTGTCTGGAGCTGTCTCCAGACCACTGATGATTGATTTGATTTGTGGGGTTTAACGTCCCAAAACCACCCTATGATTATGAGAGACGCCGTAGTGGAGGGCTTCGGAAATTTAGACCACCTGGAGTTCTTTAACGTGCACCCAAATCTGAGTACACGGGCCTACAACATTTCTGCCTCCATCGGAAATGCAGCCGCCACAGCCGGGGCTTTGATCCCGCAACCTGTGGATCAGCAGCCGAGTACCTTAGCTACCAGACCACCATGGCGGGGTGTCTCGAGACCACTGCCTGGCATTGTTTCAGCTTAGGGTGAGGTGGGGCCATATCTGCCCACCTAACTGGTAGTGCTTGGTAATATTGTTATAACTCACTAAGCGCTCTCCAACATTTTGAACCTGGAGGTCCGAACTTGACGAGGTGGTCTCAGACTCTGTGCGGCGGATCATTTCCCGCGCATAGCAGTGTGCCACCTCGTTTGAAATAAGGGGGCCTTAGTCGGTAGGGGTGGTGACATGTGCTGGGAACCACACAATCGCAGTGCTATTGAATTGCTGTCAACCAGCCTTCCTCAGAATCTGTAAAGCTTCAGGAGAAATGCGTTCGTGCGCGTAGCTTCGAACTGCGGATTGTGAATCGCTAAGAACTGCCTCGCAGATGGGGTCAGTAAGCACAACCACAATCGCAACCTTTTCCGTGGTGTCTGGATACTTGGTACTGACACTATATGCGTGGGTAAGCCGGGAGTTAACATCTACGACAACCGCCATGAACCGATGTTTGTGTGTGTATTCTGCCGCGTCCACAAAGCGCGCTGTCCTCTCCCCACCGAAGGAGCGCAGCAGTGCCTTAGCACAAGCCTGGAGTCGGCCCTCGTTATGTTCGGATGCATATTTATAGGAATAGGGGCAACCATCAGCATGTCGCTGATGTCGTGTGGAATGTCCTCTTTGTGACCTTGTTCGACATGATAATTCAGACCGAGTTTCTGCATGATGTACCAACCCACGGCTGTGAGGGACATACGTTCGAGTTGCGAGACTACTTGCGCATCCACTATTTTTTCAAGAGTGTTGCATACCCTCAGTTGTAGCACACGAGTGGCGCTCGTAAACTCTAGTAAGCCAAGGGCGATCTTGTAAGTCTTGCGTATAAGGGTGTTGAGTTCCTCCCTTTCGGTGACAGTCCAGTTGTGGAAGACAGCCGCATAAGTGATGTGACATTGCAAACGATTGTACAAGGCGCATGATGCTGTCCTCCTTCATTCCTGTATGCTTCTTTGTAATTCGTTTGATCAGACGGGTAGCTGCTGTAACCTTGCCCTCAATCTTTTGGATAGTTTCACCATTTGATCTGTTGGCAGCTATGTGTATGACAAGAATGCGTATCTTGGGAACTCGGGGAATGCAGGAGACGTCTCGCGTATACAACTGTGTATTTTCACATTGGCGTGGTTCACTGATTGGCTTGCACTGGCAGCGAGGGCAGTAGATCAGCAGCTCTCATTTCAGCGGAGATATTTGGAGGCCCGTGTCTCCGAGACATGTCTCTATTGCAGGTACTGCTGCTTGCAAGACGCATTCTATCTGCCCGTCGCTTCCCTTGTCGACCCACAGGGTGATGTCATCTGCACACATTGACGTTGGAGGCCGTCAATCTCGCCAAGGCAGACCGAGAGACTTATCATCACGAGGTTGAAAAGAAGCGGGGATATTACCAACCCTTGGGGAGTGCCACTGCTTCCTAAGGTATGTATATTCATCGGATGTCATGCTGTCGACTGTGAGAGTGACCGTGCGGCACGACAGGAAGTCTCTGATGTAGTTGTAGCTGCACTGACCCAGGTTGAGCTTGTTAATTCGGCTCAGGATTGCTGCATGTGCTACAGCGTCGAATGCTTTTTCTAGATCCAGGCTAAGGATGGCTCGGGTGCCGCTGAGTTGGGTCGTTTTGATTTGGTGGTAGAGCTGGAGCATGACATCTTGTGTGGGCAAGTATGATCGAAAGCCTACCGTGGGGGCAGGTAGGCCCCCGTGTCCTCTAGGTGGTTGTTGATACGAGTAAGGAACGTGTGCTCCATCACTTTGCCAACGCAGCATGTGAGTGAAATAGGCCTCAGGTTATCGAGGCTAGACGGCTTTCCATGTCTCTGGGATGCAACCCTCTCACCAGCATTTGTTGATGTATGCTGTAAGAGCGGTGATCGAGGCATTGTCAAGGTTTCGCAGAGTATTGTTTCTAACCTTGTCGGGACCAGGTGCTGATTCTCCATCAAGCTGGTAGAGTGCTGCGCAAATCTCTGATTCATTAAAATCTTCATCAAGCGTTGCATTTGGCTTGCCAGAGTAATCGCTGTGTTGAACCTCGGGTCGTCGTGGAAAGTACTTGTCAGGCAGGCGTGTTTAGATCTGCTGATCAGTTGCTGTTGCCCATTTGTGCAAAAGGTGCTGCAAGTTGGCACGCTGAGCCAACTTGCTCTGCGTATCCCCCAAGAGGTGACGGAGGAGACACCACGTGCTTCCATTGTGTTGCTACCCGTCGACTGCGTTGCAGATGTCGTACCACTGCTGGTGGCTTAAGTTCCGGCGATGCTCTTCAAGCTGACGACTGAGCTGTGCGATCTTCTTACGAAGCCTTTGATTGTGCCGTTGCATCTTCCATCTCGCATGCAGTGATGCCTTGGCTTCCCAGAGGTGGGCTAGTCGGCTGTCAATCTTCTCAACCAGAACTTCGGGTTTACCTCGCCATTGAGGTTTTCCATCCATGCCTCGATGTCATCAATGGCCTCCTCATCCCGCTGTTCGTCACGCTGCTTCCCGAATCTGTCCCAGTCTGTCCATTTGAATAGCTTGTAGGCGTGAGGTATACCCACCTGAGGAATTCATGTTTCTATTATCATATGGTCGCTACCGAGATCTTCAAAAGTATTCTACCACTTTGCTTGAGGGATGTTCCAGACCACCGTCCGGAGCACGGCAGCTTTTTTTTTTTTTTTGCTCTCTTCCCGTGTGTCGTTGAAAGGAGAAGTGTTACGTGGAGGGGACGAGAAAGGGGGAAGCAGGGCACAGGAGCGTGAGAAAGAGCCACACTCCGCGACCACTTTCTCTCTCTCTCTCTTTTTGCGCACGGCGTTGGAAGGAGAAGGGTCTTCACGTGGCAGGGGCAAAGAAGGGAGAAGGGTGGCAAAGGCGCATCCCAGATCGGCATTTGAGAGAGAGCGAAAATTCCACCGCAACCTTTTCTTTCCTTTTCTTTTCCTTTTTCCTGCAGCGTTGAGGCGTCGGAGGTGCCGCCGCGGGATTGGGCAGGGTGCTGAGAGCATTTTCCGAGCGCGATATGTTCGAATTAACCGTCGCAAGTGCTTGCGCGTTCAAATTACCGGGCGTTTTGCCCATTGAAATACACATAGCTTTGACGGGACCTCATCGTGAGTTCGAATTAACCGGAAGTTCGAATTAAGTTTGTTCAAATTAATGAGATTCGAATGTAATAATAGTTTCACTGCGGTTATAGGGCGCTATGCCGTGAAAAAACCTATTTAATGTATATTAATTCACATGTAATTTTCTCTAAAATTCGTTTCATTGCAATAAAGGAATGCTAAGCCGTAAAAGCACCTAATTAAATGTATACTAATCCGCATGTAATTTCCTGTAAAGGTGGTTTCACTGCAGTAAAGGGATGCTAAACCATGAAAACACCTATTGGGAATCCGCACTGTCACGAAGCCCCTTCAAGGTTAAATGAACATTTCATCCTCACATTGATTCATAATTTTTTATGCTTAAAAGCATATTATACTGCCCTATTACTCTAAGTATAGTAAATATTAAAACATAACATATTTTACAGGTCATCACTTGCATTCTACCAATAGTCAAATCCTG